AAAAACACAATTGGCTGTCGGTTTTTTTTAATTACATTAATGCATTTTGATCTTTTCTCTGAGCTAAGGCCTGTTGTGTAGTGTGTTTTTTTTAAAATCGGCCTTCGTTTTTCATTTACTTCAACCCCCGAGGCGCATTAAAATGACACGTTGATTAGTCATACCTACATATTTTGTATAGCATACTCCAAACCCCAAACTTAATCATAGCCTTAATTTTAAATGTTAAAATATCATTACTGGCATATCAGCTTCTTCTAGGGGAGGTTGGGTGACAAAAGCTAATCGATAAAAATAATTAAGTTCAAGGCATCTAAAACACTGTTAAACAGACTTGTATATGCGTGTCAAGGAAAGGAATCTCATTTGAATAGGTCACACATGGATGATTTCATTTCATTCTACGTCACCTGTCCACAAGTCGCACCTCTCGTACAAAAAAAAAAACAGCAACGTGCCAACACCATCAGGTATAAATAGCGACGTCATGATTTGCGGTGAAGCAGGAAGCGGGCAAGCATTACATGTACTAAACAAACTGTAGCGGCTGGCTTTTTGCTGGGAGTAGTGTTTGGTGTTCTCCAGACTTTGATCACAACGATAAAGGCTGGAAAACTAAACATTGACACCACTGAACACAAACTTATTAAACGACTAAATCAAATCGCCGTTGGTCTTCGGCATTGATTTGTGGTATTGATTTACACGTGGTTGGGTATAATTAGCTTCGGTACCAAATGTGGGGAAACAGGAAACTTCAATCAATCAAGACATGTGACCTAGACACCAGCTGGGTGTGGGATTTTTTTTTACTAGTGTAATGGTCTTATAAAAAATATAAAGAGAGAATGAGAGAGAGAGAGAGAGAGAGAGAGAGAGAGAGAGAGAGAGAGAGAGAGAGAGAGAGAGAGAGAGAGAGGGAGATTCAGTGCCCCACCCATCCCTGTGGTACGCCGCTGATTCAGTGCTCCATTTATCCATGTGGTACGCCGCTGATTCAGTGCCCCATTCCCAAGGTAAGCCGCTGATTCAGTGCACTGATACAGGTCAGTCTTGTTTGCTGATAATAAATCAGACCTGGATCAACTTCGATAAGAGACTTACGCGACACTTCCTCAACACATGATTGAAGAATTATTGTAGAACTTGATTTTTAAAAAAAATTGATTAATAGTAGAGAGGGGAGGGGGGTGTAAAAACACCAACTTTCAGACAAAACAGTGGAGTGGCTAAAAGACGTGTTTTCCCCAAAGGGCATTAGTCCAATGTGCAATTGTGATTACTGATGTTTATTTTTTAATGAGTGAAAGTGACTTTGTCAACGTGCCCTTGCGAAAAACGCTTTTCCATACTTTAAAAACAAACAAACCCCGACTAGTGTGACGCCATACTCAGGAGTGTTTTAGAAAAGATAAAAACAGACATACTGTCAATTGTTTCCGGGTGCACTTGACTTCAAGTATAATTGTCTCTGGAGTACTGTTTTTTATTTATTTAGAGCAACAGCGACGTTTTATATAGCGTTAAAAACGTGCCGTTTTAAACACTGCTTATGAGAACACGACGGCAATGTCACTGTTACTTAGAGACTTTAAGGCAAAGGAAATGCCGCCATGATTGTTTGCTAATAATGCCGACGAGAATGGTGATTTTCCGCACTAAACTGCGTAACCAAGTAAAATACGATGAAAACAAATGGTTTTCACATCAGTCAAATACAACGGCAATCGGACATCGTAATGACAGACGGTTGAGCCAGAGATTAGAGCCCAAAGTTCACTCGTTCGCACCGAGATAGGACCTTGGCAAGGTGAACGGTCTTTATCGCGGCCCCATATCGACCCTGACTCAGATGGAAATGGGGACTGAGTCATGCTAGGACCCACTCGTGGTTAGGTGTATTTCCAATAAACAAATGTGCAGGAAAGGCGGGGGATATCGATCACCTAACGACCAACTCAGCTGTACATTATATACATGCGCGTGTATAACAGTGTAAGCAAGTAGCTTTTCCACCGAAACATACAGCATACATGACAACCATATCGACGTTTTGGACTGAAAGAAAAAGATGAAAATAACATACAGGGAACCTACATACACAAGCGCTCGTATATGTATATATATATATATATATATATATATATATATATATATATATATATATATATATATATATATATATATATATATATATATATATATATATATATAAACAATGTGTATGGATTTAGGACCCGTTACCAAGTAGATAGGAGTGTTAGAAATGGAATTGAACTTAAAACAATATATCTTGAAATGAATGTCCAAAGAGTTATCCAAATAGGCTTTCGGTAATCAGGAGAGTTAAAGAGTTTTGTCTGTTTATGTCAATGTTTATAACAATATTCTCTCTTCAAACCCCCCCCCCCCCCCCCCCCCCCAACCACCCAAGTAAAATAAAATTATTAGCTTAATAATATTATTTTGTCTTAGGCATTATATACAAGGCCTTTGTCAGACAATATTAAACCACACATGCCACAGAAGCTTAGTGTTTGTATTTGTATAGACAATTGATTGACCTTTCAATGTATGTTAATTGTTACAATGTGTATTTTATTGGATGTTTGATTAACTAGTTTTACAATAAACAAAAGCAGTTACTTTAGATTAATTTCTATTTGCCTGCAGTTGTCAGTGGTTATACAGGGTGCTAAAACTTGGTTGCTGTTCTCAAACTTACTTATACAGCAAAAATACCTAAACAGGTGGTAGTTCAATCTTTACTAAATACATGCAAGTTTTAGTAGTCCCAAAGTAAACCACTTTAAGAAATGGGTTCTAAAAATAAATCTATGATACTTCAGCAAAAATGTAAGCAGTCACAATAAACCTAAAATTTGTGTACACTAGAGATTGATTCCATATTTTACATTAGTCTACATTTAAAACTACTTTTATACACTCATATGGGTTAAACCAGCTCATAAGCCAGACAGACAGCAACAGGATAAAGAATCTAGCATTTTGCACAATCCTATTGCCAGGCGGCAGACCTTTGAGTTTCCACAGATATTTGTTTTCTTCCTAGTAAATAGCACCACTGTGTTTGAATATGAGGTTCAGTCACGAGTTGGGAACCTATCTTTAAACTTTCAGGTTTGCAAGTGCACATCTTGCTGCTGAAACATACCATCATCAATACCTCTACAACAAGACTAGACTACCCAATACAGCAGAGAGGCAGAGGTAAAATTACATTACTATCGGAGTTCACCCGCAACTCCACCCAAAGCATGTCGACCCCCCCCCCCCAAACTAAATAGAACTTAAATAGATATTAAATATTTATAATTTTACCAGTGTAAACCGCCCCTCTGAAAGATTAAAGTGCCCCCAACTGTAGGGGAGAGGGAGGAGGAAGAAAGGGCATCTGAACTGAAAGAAACACTGATATTGCTACACTCACACACATCCAATCAGTAGGATATTTACTAGCAATCAAGTGTAAGACCAAAAATAACAGAAAGTGTAATCAAGAGGCTTAACAGATATGTGGGCTTATAATAATCTGACTTGAGCAGAATGATGAGACAGCATGGTCAAACAGTAAAGTACTGGAATGTCAATCTGAGGTGGGTACCTCACGGTTGAAGTGAACTTGCCTATGGCCACTGTCTGACTTGAATGAGTACTTCACTTTATTAAACTAGGTATACATCAACACTGTTGGTCTTCTACAATACAGTATTGGACCATTAGCCTAATTGTACAAACCATAGCCACAATTAAAAATCACAAATGTTAGGGAATAACAATAAACTTGGTGATTTAAGTTTTAAGTGATTGTCGGAATTGATTGTATATTACTGGTACTCACAGCATTTACTGACTTGTAATCAAAATTAGGCCTAATAATTTTAATGATTTAGTTTTTAAACAGAATAAGTTAACCTAATTTATAGGTATGGATCTAGACCTTATTAAATAATTAAACTAGCCAAAAAGGCTAATTATTAGGCTTATAATTAAGAAACAGTTGATTAGATCTAGAACTATTATTTTTTTTAAAAATTAGATCCAGACCCCTAACTGTGTTATGTTTAGTTAAGTTAACCAAGCAGAGTTTCTTCCAGGCATCTCTTCGGGGGGGGGGGGGGGGGGGTAAAAAATTTCAGGGGGGCTTTTTTTTACCCCCCCCCCCCCCCCGAACGCAATGAAATTTATATAATTTATATAGAAAATATATACTTTTAACAGTGCCCCCCCCCCAGAGCCTGGAAGAAACACTGTAACCAAGATATACATGGGTGCAAGCCTACTCAGTTGGTGATTACTACACAGTCTGAGTATATCAGTATGAGTAATACTATAAAGTATAAACTATAATCCATACCATATGTAGACATGTAGAACTAGTAATCAATATATTAGGCCTAAATAAATATTATTACATAGTTAATACATAGGCCTACTAATGACTAAAACTAAAATTATACTTAAACTAGAGATCTCATCTAAAATATAAATCAGAAAATCTGATGGGGGGGGGGGGGGCTTATTTTAATTTTACCCATCTCTATTATTAGTATCATTCTCTAGTCAATGACTTAAGTCAATAATAATTATTAATTGATATAGGCATAGGCCTAACAATTAGGGCCTACTATTAGAATTAGTAATTAGCCTATAGGCCCTATACTATAGGGCCTACAGTACTATACTTTATTAAATTAGATCTAGGGCAGTAGGCTTATAAAATAAAATTATACTTTATTAGTTTATTAGGCCTATAATAAAATATCTAGGCCTATAATCTATATTATTACCGTACCTGAGCATATTCTCATAGTGAATAGTGATTTCTCATTAGAGGTCAAGGAGCAAGCTACTCTTTTTTTTTTTGTCAAACGTCAGAGTGTGTGTACACTACTGTGTAATGTGTAATAGAATCTCTAGATCTAGACGTCTAGATGTAGATCTATATTTTAAACACAAACTAGACTAGAATTACTTACCTTTTTTCAATCGCTAAACTCTGATGGTACATATTTATTATTATTAAAAGTATGTCCTGAGAAATATAGATCTAACAGCTTTAAATAAAAGCTGCATCCAAACGTCACTTTCCTCTGGTTTAGGTAAAAAGCATTTTGGTCCTAATCTAAGGGACGAGTTTCTCTCCCCTTTTTTCTTTTAAGTATATAATTTTTTTTTTAAACGCGAACACTTCCTGTAATGATGAGATCATCCATTCTATTTTTTACTCCATGAAATCATTTCTGGCCAATCGAATCGCTTATGATCTTTTGCGTTGGAATCAAGCATGTAATATCGAAAGTAGAACAAATAAACAAACAAGACTTGTCAAGAGATCACTGGAATTGAAATTAAAATTTCAAGTAGATATAGATTTAAATATAGACTATATCTAAGTTTTTACTTTAGAATTAATGAATTATCTATAGTGTAGTGCAGTTTGGAGTGGTGTAAAAAAATTCTAATTACACAAAACAATTTAACAATTAATTTTATAAAAATACTTAAAAAAAACTTTTTAAAAAACCACGTTTTTCTTGTAGACTAAAAAGTAGAAAATAACTATTTACTATTTACTTACATTTGATGACAAAAAACGTGGGTACGTTCACCATCAAATTTCCCGACCCATCTGCCCGACCCACGTTTTTTGTCATCAAATGTAAGTAAATAGTTATTTTCTACTTTTTAGTCTACAAGAAAAACGTGGTTTTTTAAAAAGTTTTTTTTAAGTATTTTATTTTCTCCTTTTTAGTCCGTTGCTACACATGAAAAACGTGGTTTTTAAAAAGTTTTTTATATAGTTTATTTTCTACTTTATCTAATCACTTGATTAAGTATGACTTGACTAAGTGTTTTTAAATACACGGACTAAAAAAATCTTGAGCGACCGATACGCTTTAAACAGAGAAAGGGTGTAATTTACGTTGCTGGCGTGGAGATCTACTCACGAATCACGTGATCAAATCTCCCATAAACAAACAAATAAACGCGAAGCTGAGTTAAGGAAAAACGTGTTTATGTGTATTTTAGCATGCCCAGCGTACCAACCGTGTCACCGTTAACAACGTGTTACCGTGTCCGTTCTCCTTTTTAGTCCGTTGCTACACATAAAAAACGTGGTTTTTTAAAAAGTTTTTTTTAAGTATTTTATTTTCTCCTTTTTAGTCCGTTGCTACACATTAAAAACGTGGTTTTTAAAAAAGTGTTTATAAATACACAGACTAAAAATCTTGAGCGACCAGGATTCGAACCTGGGTTGTCGCGGCCACAACGCGAAGTACTAACCACTATACGATCACGGCCAGCGCGCTCACATCGATTGGGGCCGAAGTAACTGCGTCAATAGGCCTCCATTCTTGTCGGTATCTTTAGAAATCATGTCCTCAATTTTATGGTCCTTGGGGCGTAATTAAATTAAGCTAATTACGGTCACTAATTGCTAGTTTTTATGATTGCATCTGAAATTGTTAGGCGAAAGTAGCATGCATGCCAAATTTCAGGTCTCTAGAGCAATCAGAAGTGGGCTAATTTTCGATGTCAATTTTAACAACAAACATCCAAACAAACAAACGCGAAGCTGAGTTAAGAAAAACGTTTTAAAAATGTATTTCATTATCCAGGCGGCACTCGTTGTTGCAACGGAGTTGTAAAAAGATTCTCATCCTTATGACCTTATCCTATGATCTGTCTCATGACGACTCTCATGAAGTTTCATGAGTCTCAACTCTCAAGCAAGTCTCAGCTATGTACTAGAATCTAGAACTAGATTCTATGTAGTCTTCAGACTCTTCACTCTTCACTGTCTCCTCTCTCTGTCTACAGTACTCTACAGTACTCTGACTCTACACTGCTCACTTACTCAGAGTTAGTAGTACTCACTACTCTATGGTCTAAGACAGGATAAATAATAAATACATTAAATAGTTCTACTGACAGCTACTTTTCCAGCTAGCAGCTCAGCCTAACTCTCAGTCATGTGTCACAGTGACAGTGTGTACTCAGCAGCTAGAGTTGAGTTGTAGGGTCTGTAGACTGTAGAACTGTAGACTACTGTAGAGACTTTTATTTGTAGAGTACTGTAGTGAGACTAGTGTAGAGTGTAGATCTACACTCTACTCTAGTCTCACTACAGAACTCTACAAATAAAAGTCTCTACAGACCCTACAACTCTAGCTGCTGAGTACACACTGTGACACATGACTGAGATTGAGAGTTAGGCTGAGCTGCTAGCTGGAAAAGTAGCTGCCAGTAGACTTAGATCTAGTTACTAACTACTCATTCAATCTGAATGATAAATCATGAATGATCTTGTCCAGAGATTTTTCTATAGAATCTATCTATTAATATTAATGTTATTATGAAATTATCTAGGCCCTATAAATTGTAAAATTAAAAATCTAAAACAATTGGACACAACAGAGAAGAGCCCCAAGTCTCAAAATTATTCAAAATTAAAGATTCTGTTATTGTGGCATTATTAGTCACTGGTATAACACATAGAAGTCCCCCTTTAATTTTGTATCAATTTAATAATTTTAAAATACAGTAAAGTTAAGCAGGTTGCTATGGCTATGGTCTTACTAAGTTACTTTTGATGGACTCTTGGGTGTAATAGGGCTACTGCAAGGTGTTTTTTTAAAGAAGTAGCAACAAAAATAGTTGTTCATTAATGAATGGTGCACACAAAAATGACCAAAGCCAAAGGTTGGGTTACCTGAGGATTAATTTTTAAAAGCTGCTAACAATTCAAAAATTTGATTTTTTTGTCTTTGTCAGGTTTTAACTAAGGTGTCCCAGAAATAGTTCAAAACACTCATAAAGATGATTCAAGTTCTTCTATCAGCTTTCTGAAATTTTGAGAGGAAAAATTAACTAATTGATGTTCTTATGATGGCATTTTTAACCCACATTTTTCCTCTAACATCAACATATTTACAAAACAATTCGTCTATTTCTGAATTGGACAAAGTTCTTGTGAAACTGTCATCAGAGAAATGGAACAAGTTTGTTATAGTAGGACCTGATAGAGCGTAAGTTCTCAGTTTTATTTTTGTACACTGGAATATATGTAGAATTACCTGTTAGATATTGTGAAAGAAAGTTATGATAAGAAAACAATCTATCTATATATATAATTCTCTTCTGGGAGACGTGAGAAAACAAGCTGCAAGCGCGCCTTGCAGTCCCCTCTCTTCCTCTCTATCACTATCACTACCACCCCAACCCCACCCCCACATGGTCTGGTGAGCGGTGGTTCACTCTAAATGTTTACAAATCATAGAGCTATTAGGGGCAGATAATTTAGTTTGAAACTTTCAGGAGGTAACTAAGAGGAGACTGCTTTTACGGGGGGGGGGGGGGGGGGGGGGTGTAGGTAGGGGTTGGGGCAAAGGGGGGGGGGTTAGTGTTTTAAAGCAAATATTTTCAGTGGCAGCAATGGTACTGTCGAATTCTACTGAAAAGTAGAAAATAAAACAACTAAATAGCGGCGTATGATACTCCGCGGGTCGGCTCGTTATGTATAATTATGTTCCATAACTATATTATTTTTTCAGAGATAAAACTGCCCTTGCTTTCCAAGCTGCAGTTAGTGCTGCTGCTTCAGGAGCCAGAGTAACCTATATATGTACCCATCCCCTCAAAAGGCTGCCTAATGCTGTACATGGTATGATGACACCTGAGCTTGCCATCATGCGGCTTGTTGATTTCTTGTATGTTTTCTTTGGCTGCTTTTGGGGTTTTTTAGTTTTTTAATGACTTTTAACCAGAATTCTGTGCACTACCAAATCTTATGTATATCAAAATATGAGATCTGCACTACAAACTACATGAGGCCTTAAATTTTTTTTATTTAGTTAGGATAATTTGCAAATATTAAAATGAATAAATTTTAAAAATCTTTTTAACTATGAGCACATAAAATGTATTTTATACCAGCCTTGATTATCACATGTTAAACAGTGGTTTGCTTTTTTATCATATACAAGAATTACACGACTTTTTTTCATGAAGTCAATATTAACAATACCAGGTATAAATTGTTTTGATTTAGAATGTACTAGAGAGGGGCAAAGGTTGTGTGCTTTCCTGTAGACTGATGTCTAATCCTTTAAAAACACAAAATCCATATTCACTCTTTAAATGTTTTGACATAGGAAAAGAGGTTGAAGATGAAGTTTTGGTTGGAGGGTGGGGGAAGCATTTGAGAAGATTTTCTGTCAACAGACTTTTTATCCAATAGTCTAGATCAAATATTAATTTTTTTGGAGCTACCTATAAACTGACTTAAAATAGTTTACAAGTTTCAAAAATAGTATGAAACCTCTCAGATTTTACTTACTTGAGCTTAGTTTGAATATTTTTAATCCCTTATAATCGACCTCTAAATTTTTAGCTGACCATATAGAATTAGTGATTATCCTTGAATCTCTGTTCTTTCATATGTATTTATAGAGTGAATTATTTTCTCAATTCAGATTACACTAATTAATGACATAACATAGACCAGTTTGATCTATGTGTGTGTGTTTGTGTCAGCATACATAGGCCTATAATTTAAATACATGCTTTAATCACTGCAGACTTAATAGTAACGATGTTTGTCTATAGTATGTACATTTTGCAATTTTTTGCCTTGGTGTCACCCCCCTAAATGGTGTCACCCGGTGCGGTCCGCATCCCCGCCCTGCCCTTGCTAAGCCTTTGGATCTATTGTTAGTTATCATTAACATAGTTTTATGCTTTTTAATATTCTGTAACATTTGATCAATTCTTACTATGAAATTTTTACCATTTTAAAACATAAACATACAGATATCTTGAGGAGTCTGATGAGCTTCTCTCCTGGTGTGCTAAAATTCATACTAAAGCAAAGTTGCCAAACTTAATTGTCATTGAAGACATTCTCACATATGCTACACAAATAAATGTAAGTGGCGATTATCAATTTTCATTCTATAAGTATAATAAAAAACAAACTAAAATAATAATAAAAATCCTATCTCACACTAAAAAGAAATAAAGCATAAATTATAGTTGTACACTGCATTAGTTCATGAAAATGATGAAGTTATCTATAAATTTTATATACTTGTATTAACAGTCTTTTAATTTTTAAAATATTACTAATAAGACATAAGTGGTAAGGGTACATTACCCATGCTTAATATTTTTGTAAACAACAAAAACCACTCTACACCTTGTATACTAATCTGCAAAGAAAATTTCATAAAAATGTATTCTTATATATATTTAAATAATTCACCAATTTTTAAGGAGAATAACATCGAAAGGAGCCTGGCAAAGTTATGTGCCATTATTTCTGATGCTGTTTCGTGGATAGAATCTCAAGAGTGAGTATATGTTTTTTCAGCTGATGCAAAAAAATTCCAAACTAATATGCTTGAATAAAGATGCCAGACAGTAAATTAAACATTTCTATGAATAGAATCACATTTTAACAGAGTAATCAGTAAAACTATTAAAACTCTGAATACAAAGTATCACAAATTGGATTATGTTTTACTTTAGTGAAGTTATCTGAAGATTTAGCAAATTTAAAATTAAATATATTCTTTTGATTTCAAATTTAATTCTGATTAGTGAAAAAAAGAGATGCCAAATTCTGATGACAGCACCAACAAGAATTCTTTCATTGAATGGTGTGCTTGCTCAGTTTAATATTATGACTGCTTTATACAGTGGTAAATATGCTTAGTTGAATAAATATATACATCATAATCAATGTAAATGTACTAACATTAGTGCGTAAAATTAAAAGTATCCCAATTGTTGATGATATGTGTATTATATTTTTCTCTCCAGGGCCAGAGAAAGAAGAGTTGCATTCCAAGGTGTGTTATAATGTTGGTGACCACTCTCTTATAATACAATTTCTATCTCAAAAAGATAGTATCATGATGACAAGTATAAAAGCTAGTTTGAAAGTATCCTGAGGGACCTTGTGAGAGACTGCCTATGTTATATTAAAATACATGATCAACGAAATCAAGTACATAATATTGTATATGTTTTGTAGTGATTGTTTACACAAGATTGTGGTCAAGTGAATCCAAACAACAGTTTATGCTGAAGTATTCTCCCCTGCTACCTTATCACTGTTAGAAAAGGTAATCAGGCAATACATGTTATCACTTCTTTCCATGATTTTTATCTTACTTGGCGTTAACTGGGACTGAAAACCTTCCAATCATCCTTACAAAACTGCCAGAAAAACATTTTTTATTTACTCATTGTTTTGTTAATATATGTTCTTTGAATAGCATATTTGTTTTAATAAATTTAATAAATTGAATTTTTATCCTTTCTATGTGCATTCATCAAATTTTAATGTATTTGTCTCTTTTATGTTAACAAAGGAAAAACATTTTTTGTTAAATAACAATTCAAACATGATATACAGATAGTTAAGACAGATGTGTTGAGAGCTAACAACAAATAGGAGTTCCCACTCAAGATACAAGAAATGACTATTTTGGAAGTGGATAGCTTCACATATCTATGAATGGTAGTATGCAAAGATGGGGGAACAGATGAGGGAATCTAAGCGGCATCAAAAGTACTGCCTGCACCTTCCAAAATTCAACAGTTTAACTGCAATGTGAAATTGTTCACCCCCATGGTTCTGAGAGATGGAGAGTAACACAAAACATATAATTACAAACTTCAGACTTTTATTAACATAGCATATTGAATATCTTATGGTATGAAAAAATAACCGAGGTCGAAGAATGGAAAAAACTGTGCAAAACCCTCTTGGCAAAGAAATAAAGTACAAAAGTAAAGAATTATGTTCAGACCTCGTGATCCATTGGGCAGATGAAGTAGAGTTCATATTTCTTGACCCTGGCATATGAAGGGAAGTTGTGGTCAGCACTTAAACCAATAGCCCCTACTTTTCCTACTCTACTATTTGAATAACTATAAAGAAAAGTGTTGGTCACTATGTTATCTATTGGTTACCTTTTCTAATATTTATAAAGAGACCCATGCTTTTCTTTATAGTTATTTAAATAGTAGTGTATTATTATATATATTTAAAGAAAATCTGTCTCCTTTTAGTGCATTATTACATAAAGGGCTTGTTATTAAAACGTTTTTATGCATTTTTTATTTTTACACCAAATTAACATGATAACGCGCATATAATAGTGCAAAATAGTAGTAGTGAGACAGCCTACTAATTTCAGAACATTTTAATTGATTCATAAAAAAATTAATTAGGCATCCAACTAAGTCAAATTTAATATATCGCATTGTCATCGGGTCTTGACGATGTGCCGAATTTCAGAGAAATTGATCGGTTAGAAGCCTCCTTTTGGTCAAGACAGGAGGAAGACAGAGGAGTAAGATAGCGGAAGCAAGTTAAATAAAAGCTTGTAAAAATAAAATTAATCATTTTTATAGCCAGATTGCATGATATTGCCAGCACCCTTAATTTTAGGGGAGATCACTCCTGCTTTATTTGGGATTGTGGTTGTGAGCAAAATGGATGCATTCTCTTGTTTGCCAAATCTTGGTGTTGATTTTTACAATAACCTGTCATGTGTCTAGGACAATAACCATCCCCTTACCCAGATGATCCCACGCCCTTTCCTCTTAAAAATAAATATTATAAGGCCTAGTTATCCCTACCAATTTCCGTATGCAGTTTTCTCTTATGTTCGTTATTGATTGCGTTTTGTATTCTTGAAGTTCCAGACTTAAAATTTATATTACTGCCAGAATAGGTCTACAGTATGTGCTATTCCACATAATCTTTTACGTGTTGGAATGGTGTGTGGGGGTTGATCTTATTACATATAGTCTTTGAGAAAGCTTTCCAAGAAAAAATTGAATATGCCAGCCCGATCCCTTGAGTGTAACTCCGTTGTTGACTAAATTGATTCAGGCCTGTATGCGACGGCCGGTGACCTTCAGCACCTGTGAACACTACAGCGCCTAGACTAGTTTATATAGATACAGTGGCTGTGCGAGGTCTGTTGTCCACCTGGTGATATATATATATATATATATATATATATATATATATATATATATATATATATATATATATATATATATATTTGTCTATAGTTTTCTTATGAGTGTATGTGTGTAGGTGTTTGCATATATTAATTTTATTATATCGCTTTTTCTTGGACATCAATGATACAATTCATATGCATAAGAGGAATTTTGGTTTTGTTGAGTGGTTTTAAAGATTATCTGCTTTCTAAATGTTAATCTACTCCAACAGATTAAGAATTATTATATTTGGTAGAATGTTAAACTGCTTACTTACAGTAGTTACAGGCCATTACCCGTGCTGGGTATGAGCCACCAACAACTCCATAATCATTTTTCATGAGCCATTTCCTTCGCTTGATGATAACTTTTCTTGTCTTGCCTATCCTTTTTTTCACATCTGTGTCTGTTTCCCCTTGTTTATTTATTTTTTCTAAAGGTTTAGAAATATAAAAGCCCTCACCTTATATATATATATATATATATATATATATATATATATATATATATATATATATATATATATATATATATATATATATATATGACCATTTACATTTTTAAAATAGTATTTATAAATATTTAACATTCTTGGACTTCATTCTACAGTAACAAAAATGTTTAAATAGGAATTTACACCAAAAAAAAAGTTTCAATTTGTAAGACCTTCAACCTAATTTAAAGCTTGTGTTAATTTTTAACCAGGTTTTTCGATGACACATTTAATTTTTGTATTTCACATTGCACGTTTATTAACATATTAAACAATGCTATTAAACATTTTTTAAAAAGCGAATGTTTTCGATGCATATTATATTGGAGCTTTTTTGGAATGGAAGTTAAAATTGTTCTATTTACCGGATATTGGAGGGTCATTTAAACTAAACAAAATGTAAGAAGTTTTAGTTAAATCTTTCAATAGTTTTATCAAAATTTAAAAGGGCTAATAGACTCTAGATCTTAAATATTATCCTTGTGTTGCATGCAAATAGTTATCACCACGGTATCTAGAGATCTAAATTAGTGTGGAAGACAAAATTTCCCTAGGTTGCTCTTCCAAAGTTCCCGTTGTCAAGTCCAAACATGAAAAAAAATATTTAAAAATGAAAGACTTTCAAATAAAAGTTTAAAACAAAAGATCTAGACCTAGACAAATTGAAATACTTATAATAAAAAGTAGGCATATCGAATTTTTAAGTAGGCCTTCAAAATTCAAGTTACCTTTTGCGGCTTTTAAGTTCTAGACCTAGTCTAGTAACAACACCAGTGACTGAGTGTGATACTGATAGAAACTGATAGATCTAGATCTACAATCTACACTACCTACACTGTGTCTACACACATGACTTCTGACAATTTTTTTTTGTCTTAGTTCCATTTACCTTCTTAGAATTACATTAAAATGTAAATTTACCATGAGCAAAATGTCAGGTTTTCACATTCTTAAAACAAACTATATGTGGCAGGGCTATCCCAGAAAGGAATTTTAAAATTTGGTTTGGAGGATGAATGCTAAATTTAAAAGTTGGTTTCATTAAAATCAATAGAACTTTAAAAATATCAATGATGTATGTACAAGATATGAGCAAATTAAAAAAGTTCCCTTTTCAAACATGACGGTCTATTGGTCTGTGACCTCGGCATATGAAGAGATAGTGTGGTCAGCACTATGCCCAGCCGCCTTTACTTTCCCTAACGTCAGTTAGGTACCCATCAGAGTTGGGTGGACTTAGGGTCGGTCTACTGACTTGAACCCGGATTCGAACTCGAGACTTTCGGGTTAGCAGTCCAGCTCTCTACTGCTCGACCACTACGTCCCCTTATGAGCAAATAGGTGAAGCATTATTAGGTTTATCAGTCTATAAAAAAAAGAAATCAAATATTATGACCACTTTTTTTAATAAAATCGGCCTCGTATCACAATTATTTTTTTAAAACCTCAAACCACCATGCGACCCCACGTAAACCCAGCCACATTTGATTTACTTGCCCAAACTTGAGTCAATTATTCATAAAAGCTAGGTAGTTTAGTGACTTACTATCTAACTCAAGATAGCAATCATGTTTAACCACTCCGCCTACACCTTTTTTTAATTAAACCTCTTTTTTTAAAAATTAGCACTAAGGCTTTTCAGAGGCTCTACTAATTAATAGTTACTGGTCATTAATAACTATACTGCTAACCAGTCTTCAAACTAACTTTAGTCAGTCTTTTTTTTAGCGAATATAACTTTTAAAATAAATGATAGGTTAATACTTAACATTTTAAGGTGAGTTACTTAAACAACAATATTAAGCTTGTAAGTAATAATTAATTAGGCCTGTACTTACAATTATTTAAATTAACCAAGTCATTGTTTATCTTTTAGTATGCCTAATAATAATAGTCTAATTGGGTGTAGGCTTACTTCAAGGGTTAATGCATCATCTGTTTTATTATGTTACTTTTTTATTACACTATTTTAATCGGGATATTATTTTTTCAGCTTACTTGATTTATATACTTGAATATGGAGCCCACAAATTGTATCAAAGAAGTTTTAAGAGCTGCAAATCAGTATACTCATAATAATGGACAGCTAGCATATCTGCTTCGACAATTAGAGGTAGGTTAGTAAAGACTGAAATTGTAAAATTAAGTTCTGAAATGACATGGTTACATGTAACTTACATAAAATGATATTTTTAAAAATCTTTGAGATAACAGTGAAATGTTGGATGAGGAAAAGGATTGAAACACTTTTGTGCAATGAGAAAATAATAGAGGCATTAAAAATAAATTACCGGTAGAGGTATTAAAAAACAAATTACGGGTAATCTAAATTAAGAAATATCCTTTCTTTACAATCATGCAAGCTTGTATTTAAAAATATTTATTAAAAAATGTTATGATTAAAATTTTGTTAGTTATACTGTAAATTTTTTTTATCATGTGAAATGATAAAGATATCGGTTATACATACAATGTACTGGAACCCATTTAATAATTTTATGTTCATAACAATCTGTTCAGGCTCTTCAGACAATATCATCAAGATCAAGTTATATTCGTCAGCTTCATTCTATAGATCTTGTGGAATTGGCTGACTGTTTGACATTCCTTGTAGATGTAATAAGGGAAGAGCATGGACAGATCGAATTGATGCAGCGGGTCATAAAAATTTTGCTTAACTTTTGTAAGCTTCTTTTCTAAGATTAGTTAACATCATTATTTTTGTTAAAAGAATTGATAAAAATGCACTCTTTTTATCAGCTACCAGTTAATGTTATCTCAGCTTAATTAACTTAATAGTGAAATGAATTAATAAGAAATGTATAACTAAAGCTTATTTTTCATGCATTTCAGCTCATGATGATTATGTCAGGAAACTGTTGTTTGAAACATACAGTCTCCACACACACTTAGCAGCAGTCATTGTTGCCTACAGTGGTTTGACAGAAGAGGAAAACACTTTAGCAGAGGTTTGCAACTACTCAGCACAGTGTCTTAAACTTTTTTCTAAAATGTTTTTAAAAAGTCTGGCTATTGTAGTTTAAAATCATTTTGCCATATTTATATCATTTTAAATTATTTGTATTTTATATCTTAGGCTCTTCAACTACTTCAAAGAATAACATATGGTTATCGTATTGACTACTATCAACCTAACATGGATGATCTTTTAAAGTTCATTATAAACAACATGTAAGAAATTTTATTCATTCTTGAACAACTATAAAATAGCAAGTATTAAGTAGCCTTTGTTTTTCTGTATGTTGATTTTTCTTTTAATTTTTGAGTACATTAGACTACTATGTTGAAAAAGTGCTTGAACTTTTGGGATCTTATGGGATGTAAAAATATTTTTAATCCCCTGACAGTAAAAAGTTACATTCATGAGACATAAATTAGTTTTTATATAGGTGTCAAATATTAGTAATTATAGACCGCTAAAATAATCTTTTGTGCTTGTGTAAAAAAATGTGTCCATATCCTACTTTGCAGCCTCAACAACACAGAAGCATTTATTTCTTCGTCATTGGGGACACTAGCAAATTTGTGTAGAAATAATTTCCTAGTGCAGTCAACCATCAGAAATATGGTTAGAATAACTTTTCGTTCATTCAATGTAAAGTTAAGAACATATGTAGAATTTTAGGAAATGTATAAATCAGTTTGTTTTTTAACATGTTTTTAAAAATGTTTCAGTATCAGTCTGATTTTAAGAAAATATTAAGAGCTCTGTGCAACTTTTTTGATAATCAAAACCAAAGCTTGGTTATTTTCTCACTTCGTATCTTCACAAGCTTATGTTTGAATGAAAGTGAGGGACAAAAGGTAATTGAATTTTAGTTCACCACAAATTATTTTGGTATCACAACATTTTTTTTTAATTAATGAAAAAGTAGTCAATAATACTTTCCAATTTAATCTGTAGAGAAGATTTAAAAAAAAAAAAAAATTAATGTTTATCTAAAATTATGCAACTATAATTCAGAATTTATTTTACATTTTTAACCATTTGCTGGAAATTAATTTCAGCTTTTCTTTGAGAGCAATAATGTGGAACAGACTATGCAAGCAATATTTGGCGTTCTAAAAAATAGCTTTAAGACAGTGGCATGGAAATATGCTGCGGACCTACTTACAGATTTAATTCGACACCCACAAATGCAGATCTGTATAAACAAGTAAATCTAAAATTTGTTTAAAGCAATTTTTAACCAAACAAGTTTTTTCTGAGTAGCTTGAATATTACATAGTGTTAATGAGTATTTACTATAGCTAGAAATAATACTTCGAGAAATTTTTTTTTTAAAACCATCTTCAATAGTCTCATATTTAAACAAATAAATTAAATAAGAACAAAATAAATCTGGTATAAGAACAAAATAAATCTGGTATGTCTATACAGAATATTTTTATGGTAACTCTCTATTCAGATATCGCCATTTATCAAAGTGTATGAAAGATATCCTCTTGTTATTACCTGCTGGCTCAGATGAAACTGCTGCTGAGGTAATACTAGTATTTGGTAAAATTCATTGATTGTTCGTATGCTATTCTTACAAGTATATTTTTTGTGACCATTAAATTAAATGGTTTTTTTTAAACTGTATTTCTCATTTTATCTCTACAGATGTTTGAACTTCTTCTCAGTCTCTGCACTGTGCCATCTATTCGGCAATGTATAAACTCAAGCCTTTTTACACCACTGGCCCAAGGAAAAGTTTCAGCAACAGAAATGTCAGAAGTCCAACAAACTGCCTTAAAACCTGACACTAACATATTATTGTGCTGTATACATTGGGCAGCACAAGAACCGAATCTAAGAAGCAGAGCACCATGTTTAGCTTTGGATTTTCTTTTTGAAACTTGCCAAGTAGGTAGTGTCAAATCGCCCATTTAAAAAACTGTATTCTGGTGCGTATGGTTAAAATAAAGTTGATTAACAACTTAAAATGGCAAACATTTTTGGAATATTTTCTTGTTACTGCCCTTTAAGAATTTTACATAATATTAACCTAACTAGATATATTAAATTAATATAAACCATGCAAAATTATTTTTATTTATTGAATAAGATTTGACATTTTTGCCCAACTTGAAGTAGTTTGGTTTATAGCACTGAGTTTAGAAACTTCTAAAAATATTAGGAACTAAACTTCTGCACATATACTTTTCAGCTATTTAATTTTGAATGATTTAATTTTATTTATGATTGCTTTATCTTCACACAGGATAGTATTTGTAGTACAGAAAGCTATCCAGTTCATTTGTTGACTCCAGTGTTTACAGATTTTCTAACCCGACCAGACCAGACAAACTCTCCAGAAAAAACTGTTCGTATCATCAAGATTTTAAATGGTAAAAGGACCTTTCATATCTCACCAAATGAAATACGATCACCAAAATTACATTTAAAAACTTTTACGTATGCCTATCACTATCACCTCCCTTTTAATTTTTTTCTTTCACCAAGTGTTGTGTTCAAAGAAACAGAGCAAAGATACAATAAGCACATTATTAACACTAGATAGTATGGCCAACCTCCTCGAGAAACAGCTGTCTGCTGCATCCTCATACTTACCAGATAGTGTAGAAAGGTAAAAAGAATTTATTCAGCATGTTGTGTTTCTTTAAATTAAATATTGACATAAGCATGAAATCTTATGTGGATCAAACCTTTGGGTTTGTGTGTCGCGGTTAATGTATTTAAATAACTTGATGGGAGGGCTAAGTTTTTATGGCTCTCCCACATTTGCCTATAGATGCACAAAAATGCATGAAGTAACATTTAGAAAAGCATTTAAATAGTCATAAAAATTTTAAAAATATGAAAAAGCTTAGTTAAACTTTAATAAAGACTACTTTTTTTGCAAAAATAAATTTCCAAAATTTCTTGGGAGGCTACCTCCCAGCCCGAGAAACACCTATGCATGTATTATACTTTGTTACAGAGAAGAGAGTACTCAGTGTGGACTATTAACTTTGGATCTTGCATGGAAATTACGGAAATGTATTCAAGGACTTTCAGAATGTTTGAAGGAAGTACTGAAGGTATAACAGCTAATTTAAATCTTAATTACTACACAACATAAGGCAATCTATGTATAAAATAACAGACACTCTTGTCACGTTTATTTTTCTAATGGCTTTTCTCATGACTTTATTTGTTAGTCGCCAAGAATGATGAGCTTAATTGCTGTTGGTCTTATGTCTACATGTCAAGATCATGTAGAAATTGCATTACGGCTTATGTGTTTTGTCATGGGATTTGAAGATGCCACACCCGACATAAGGTTTGTAGTTAATTAGGGTGTTAATGACTAAAGAATGTTAAGCATTTCTGAAGGTTGTTAATGCAGAAAAGGATTATAGAAGAGTTATCATTTCTTGTATCAAATTTTTGAAATTACAGTTTATTGATCAATTTATAACTTGAGTGCATTTGTTGTTTTTTTTTAAAAAAAATAGTTAATTTTAGAAATGTAAAAAGAAACTATTTATTTTTCAGCCTATGTGGTACAGTTGCATGCTTAAATAAACAAAAAGAGTCACTAAAACGTAGCAGAAAAAATAGTGAAACAATAGGAAAACAGGCAATAATTTCCAGCAGTGTACTTGAAAGCAAGGAAAACAGAGTCCAACCACTTACTAGCACATCTTATGCCCAGGTGGAAAATAAAAGCAAAGGAAATTCTAAGAATGAAACAAGTTATGATAAGAATGATTTATCATTAGAGAGTTTAATTGAAAAAATGGAAAGCATTATGGAGGTAGGCATAAACTTTTATTATATTATTTACATTTTTAAAATAATGTCTTTTTTTATTAGTCATTTGAACATAATATTCTAGGTTTTTAATATTTTATAACCCGTGAACCAACTGTACATGCTGTTTTAACTTAAATGTTTTGGTTGTAGCTTGCTCTGAGCTAATCAATGAAATCTTTATTTATTTTGATAAAGAATGGAGTTTTTGTTAATATACTCAGTACTCTTTAAACTGCTTTGCTTGAAAATCAATAAGGAATTTCATATCAATGGAATAAGTGCAAAAATTAATATAAATCTAGTTGTCTGTTAACTGGTAGACTTAACTCAGGATACTCCTTGAGTTCATCGTCTAAGTAATAAATATTTTTTTAAATATATTTTTCCGCCAAAAAATTTGATGATTTTCTGATGCCTTTTTTTTTTTCTAAAAATGTGGAAAGCTTTAATTTTTGCTTCAATCCACCTGGTCACAATGAACGACCTTATGACCCTTCAAACACAGCCATATTTGGGCTTTCACAGTTCTACCAGTGTTCTATTTTAAGATAAACTGTAGCAGTCAGTGTGGGATTTGCTAGCAACAATAACAATAATTTTGCTGTTGTTACAATACTGCTCATTTGCAGACTAAGGATATATTTACAATAATCTGCTGTGTTGAATATTTAATAAAAATAAATTCATTGTTGCATTTTTTTTTAATCTTTTCATTTACAGTCAAAAGAACCTAAAGTAGTAGAAATAGTTGAAGTTTTTGAGCATCATATAAAATCTCTGCAGGTTAGTTTGTACTTAAAAACAAATTGTATTTTAAAATTTTGTAGTAACAGGTAACTATATTTTGATCTATTTTTATGTTATAGGAAACTTTACAAATGAATTTAATTTAATATTTACACAGATAAAAGAGGAGCATCTAAATAATCTGCTGGAGGCCAAAAGTTTAGCGCTTACACAAGCTGATAGAGTAATTGCACAGCTTAGAGCTACCAAGGTTTCCCATTCTGCTGAGGTAAGTGTGTGCTTTTTTAATGACTATAAATAACAGGTCTCTAGAGCTAAACAAGTTTTCAGAAAACATTGTAACATTCAATTTTCATATATCAAAAGATGAAAAAGCTACAAAATATTTTGAAAGAATCAGAGAGGAAGACGGAACACATCATGTCACAGATGAATGAAGCAAAGATAAATGCAGATAAAATACAGGAACAATATGAAAAACAGTAAGTGCTCTGGTTTTATTAATTTAGTTGATCATGTTAACTTACTTCTCATAATCATAGCTAAAAACATTTTCATAAATAGGATTCAAAACATTTGGTTTGTCCTGTCATATGCAACTATATTACCAATTTTTGAAAATATTCTTTTACTCAAAAATGTTTAAAAAACCAATTAAAGATTTCTAAATGTTTGAACCATGTGTTTTTTTTTTTAGATTATCTAGTTTTAAGGAAGAAATGGATGCCTTGAATAAAGAAAAAGATGAAGCAACTGAAAAGTAAGATAATAAGTCTATATAAAAAATTGTTTACATTTATTTTTCAGTAATTAGACTACTAAATGTTTGCAAAAGCTGTACTTAGTTCACTTTGAATTTATATTTTAGATGTATGGAATTGGAAGAGACTATAATGGCTTGTAAAAGAGAGAATAAGACATTATTAAATATGAAGGAAGCTCTGCAAGAAGCTCATGAAGTATTGAAAGACCAGTATGACATGTAAGTAGGATCAATTACATTTACACAGAAAAACAAAATTCATTTGAATTTATATAACATTATTACAACTTTTTGTTTTTTAGGTTATCTAACCAGTGCAAACAACTAGAAGAAGAGAGAAAATCTTTGTCTAAACAACTCAAAGAAAAAGATGCTTCATTACAAAGCAAGTATTCATTACTCAACATTGTAGTCCTATAATACACAGCTGGTTAGATGAAGCTTGATTACTGGGGGCAAAAACCCATCTAGGAGAGAAACTCCAAAATCTTACTTTTAGTGCATTGTTGTTCTTGATTGGACCAAGGCTATGATAGCAAATCCAGACAAAAAAGCAGGCTGAACTTGGAGTCAATATGGTGCATAACAATTTGACCTATACTACTTAATTGTATTGGAGGAAATCCCTGCCAACATTACAATTACGAACAGAGAAGAACTGGAATTTATGTTCATAGTAGAATGCATTGTAAATTGTCTCTTTGTTCTTTATTTTTTAAATTTAGTTACTATTTTCCCAAAACTAAAATTTCTGAATCTTTCACTTTAGAAATAAATTCAACATTGCAAGTACTACAGAGTAAGTATGATGATACTGAAAAAGAACGTTCTGAGCTTGAAAAAGAAAAAGAAGATATAGAAGCTTATGTAGATAAGTTGAGAAACCAACTCAGCACAAGTGAAAACTCTTGCCGCCAGCTACAACAGAGGGTAGGTATTTTACTTGCAATTGGGCTAACTCATTGATTATTTATTTCTTAAATAAAAAATTATTTAGTGCTCAGTCCATAAAAATTAGTTTTAATATTTCTAGTTAGAAATAGATTTATTTAGTTATCAAAACTCATAAAATACTGCTGTTCATCTTTAACAATTTCTTTGCATCTATAAATAGGCAACAACCTTGGAGGGAATCAACCAAGAACAAGTTGAGAAGATAAAACAAAAAACTGATAAAATATCTGAACTGGAAGCTGAACTAGAAAAGCATAATCAAATTCTTTCTTTTATTAACAATATGCAACTCAAATCAACAGGAAATAAAAAATAAACTAAAATTGTTTATACATTAATCCTTGCAAAAATAAAACATTGTTCTTTGAAGCTATACACTGTATAATCTGTATATGTAATTAGCATTTTGATTTTTAAAACTGCTGTTCAGTATTTTGTGTAGGTGACCATGCATCAGAGCTTACATTAACTGACATACTGGAAGTAAAAAAAATAGTGTAAAATGGTGTCTTTTAAAACTGTTCATTGTATATTTTTAATTGACAATTAAACAGGTCAACACTTGAGTTTATGCTTATTTATTAGTTTCTCACATTTTCCTACAATTTTGAATTAAAAAACAATAATCAGTGAGTGGTGGTATGATTATTTCTCATTACAAATAATCGATAATGCAGAATAAATTATTTGGCAGTCCTTGTATATTTCCTACAGATATCTAAATGTTTCAATAATTTTATTATGAAAAATTATGTATTAGTTGACTATGTTATAAAGAGTTCTGCCATGTTATGAGATCTATCCTGTTTGTAAAAAAAAAACCTAAGTAGGATTATATAGATTAATCTGAAACTATTCTAATTCTCAACAAATTTTAGCCTTTTTTAATATACAATGTACGATAGGTTACACCAGTAACACCTTTTTATATGGGTTAGCTAGAATAGTAAACTATGCTTCTTATTAGTCCAGTATAGTGTTAAGTCAAACTCTACTACCTTTTATCTATATGAACCATGTTTTGTTAAATGTAATGTGTTTAAAAAACATTTTTTTTTGTTGTTGAAAAAGAGTTAATTTAAAATTTGAATTCAACAGATTAAAAATATGAAAATGATTTATGAAGTCTAAATATTACTTTGAAGTTACAATGAGTGAGCATTACTGAAATATTCATAGTCAAAATATGAATATTTTGTAGATATGATTTCTTAAACTACAGTGAACTGATAATACACTAACATTTCTAAAATGTTTATACTTTTATTATTGTACTGCTTATGAATAGCCGAAATAGTAGTAGTGATATGATAAATGTAAGAATTTTAACTTGTAAAAATTTATTAGGAAGGATGAAAAAAATAATTGTTATATAAAATGTACAATTGTAAACAATATATGCTTTTGGAAGCTTAATACTTAGATATTAAACTTAATATGACAAAAAAAAAATTAAGCAAAGGATTCTTTCTGGAAATGTAAAAAAGAAATTTCAGCATGCCCTTTAGTAGGCACTTACAGAAAGAGTAAAATAAATTATCTTATTAAAAAATTAACAAGTAAATTATGAAAGTGAGGGTCCCATATTTTTATTCATTCAAGTCATAACCAAACATGATTACAAATGTTTCAATATTAGTGAAATTTTCTTTTACTTTTTAGCATAAAAAACAGAAATTTAAAAATCTGCATCATGCTTCTTAAAAGCACACCAATCTTAAATAAGACATTTACAAAGTGTATAAAACAAAGGAATGTCACATAGAAATTGAAACAACAGCTGAGTTAGACTTTATGATGCATCCACTGATAACAAGAACTTATTCCAAACCTCTTTCTTTTGATTTTTTTCCCCTCATTATTGTAGATGACTGATACATCAGTACTTTATCCTAACTAGTTATGCTAGTTACAAATGGTTATTGAGGATATATAGCACTGTACCAAAACAACACATTGTGAACTAAAAAATATTGAGTATCTTTCATGGCAAGGCCCACTTTCAACAATGTAAATTTTTACAATGCCAGGTTATTTATAAGTAGATTTTAACAGAATAAAATTCTGTAAGCTAAAACTATACTCCGATTTCTCTTACTGATTATCCACTAACGGTACAAATTTAAGTTATTTTAAATAAATAAAATTAACAGGCCAGGTGAAGGTAACTAACAGTTATACAAGCTAACTCAACAATGCATGTACTAAATTGTATATATACTCCACAAGGTTGTAGAATCACATTAGTTGTTCTATGTCTTGTGTCTAAAGACTTAAATATATAACTACACTAAGCAAACAGATAAAACCTAGTTCTAAATTTCCTATAGGAACAACAAGTGTTTGAAGCATTTTTCTTCACAGAAAATTACAGCACAGCCATGGAACATGTTAAATATGTGACAAACAGCAAAATTGAGCATAATATTTTTAAAATTTCAGTAAAAAAAATATTATGCAGACTGAAAAAAAAAGTTTTTCAAAAAAATAACATATCACATCATGCTTTTTGAAAAGTACTTTTTTATATTTGTGATAAACGAAGTGGTAGAGTAGAGAAGTTTTCAAATCTCTGTTGCTGCTGTCCAAACACACTGCTTTAGTCTGGCAATCTACAAAACAATTATTTTATAAAACTGATGATTACAGCAACACTGTAAATTTAAGCTTTATTTATACTTACATACATTTGTAAAAAAATGAGATATAATGTTACATACAGGATAAACCATTTAAATGTAGCTCAGGTATAATATGCAACAATGTATTTTGTTATATTGGATCGTGCTTTAAATTATAATAGAGCAAATACTCCTGGCTTAAATAAAGAACAACTCTGGGCATGATCTTTCTAGTAAACTTATAATTAAATAACAATCATGCTATGAAAATTAACAATTTTTAAAATAACCTGTACTCCTATTGTTTGTTTACTTAATAAGGGGGAAGGCTCCGGTAAAAAAAAACTTTTTTAATACTCGTTAGAAAACAGTTATTTCTTTACAGCTTTATTAAGATATCTTCAAAACACTAGTTTTAATGCCCCAAAATTCCCCAAAGTTAAGTGTTTTGAACGGACGCAAATTTTGAAAATTCATAAAAAATTAGTTTGAAGATATGCACTTAAAATTTTTAGCTGATTGCCCCAAAATATGGAAGAAGATTATGAATTGATTGTTTATTGGGCTTAAAGTGTAATATTTTATGAATGGTGGAAAACCTACGAAGGGGTTAATTTTTCAAGATGGCCGCCGTTGTCATAGTTACCAAGATTTTTTCAAAAATTTTTTTAGTGGAAAAGCATATGCGGATGTATCTTAATAAATCTGTAAAGAAATAACTGTTTTCTAACGAGTATTAAAAAAGTTTTTTTTACCGGAGCCTTCCCCCATACAAGTGCTTGTGTAGCAAAAATATTGTTTAAAGTTAAAGGTATAAGCTAGGAAAATAAAATATTAAAAAAAAATGAGTGTGGATAACTAAATTGTCAATTTAAAAATATGCTTGAAACATTACAAAAGTTTAAGCAATAATTTTAAAAAGTTATTTAAAGCTAATAATAACATTCATACTAAAAAAACATACTAATGAAATATCACTTTTTATCTAATGAAGAAATATATACATAAAACCTTTAAATAATGCACATTGTCTTTATGTGTATTAAACAAACTTGCATATTATTGTAAAAGCAATTTAGGTTACAATTTTGATATAACTTAATTGTAAAGACTCACAGAGATCACAACTTTTTTTTACACATTTTCACATACTTTGCATTATATTAGAATCCCTAGCTCCTTATCCGTAATATATAAACTATAGTATATTATTATATACTAGTTTATAAGTTAACAATGAAAGAAATATTTCTGGGTGAAAAAAAAGGTTTGCAAGAGTGCACATCTTTATAAATAGTGTTGATAAAAACTGTCACAGAAATTTTTTGTAGATTTGGACATGCTCCATGTGATCGCTCAGGTATGTGTAAATGACATACAAGGCTAAATTTACACAGTTTAATGCCAGCCAATGGGGAGGGGTGGGTGTGTGTTTACACATCTAATAGGAAATACAATACAGCAAAATGGGAACTAATAAAAGATGTTCAGGGGATAATACAAGTAATGGAAATCTAATTGTAGTCTAAAGACACAGTAAAATTGATGGAGATCGTCAAGTAGGTTCAACCGGTGTGATAGATAGGAACATATTTATTTTTACATTATGTTTTGTAAAGGAATAAACAGTGGGATTTTTTTTACCTATGATCATATAGTTCCAATGCCAAGACATTGTGTTGACTGATTTGGCATTAAATAAGTGCAATAAGTGTAGCAGAAGATAACATTAAAACAGGTTCCTTAAAGGTACATGATCTACATTCCCAAACATTTATTGCACATGACCACACTCCATGTGGGGTTGATTTAGACAAAAAGTTGGTAACACTGCATGCAAAGCAATAGTTTCATTGGGCCTTCATTAAAATCATATATGTTTTGGTTCTTTTACACACTTTCTGCTTGCTAGTAGATGATAGATAATCCTTGTTTTCTTCAACACTGAAAGTATTCCTTTGCCAGATACTTAAAATAGTGAAAATACTGAGTGACAATTTTTTTTGAGGATTCATTTACTTCCTTGTGAGCATCCTGGCGGGCTCTTAATCAACCACCAGTCATGCTTGTATAAATATTTAAGAATCTCAATGTCTTCATGAGGTACAGGCATTTGGCGATTATGGAATGGTATTTTCTTAAATGGAGGCTCTAAGAGTCTTAGGGGAAAAGACAAAGGTTGCTCTTGAAAGAACCACAGAAATCGGTTTTCAAATCCATCTTGTAAGACCTCACCAAATGGAGTAATATAGAAAACATTTATGATTACTTCAGCTGGGCCATTGTTTATTATATATATTCCATGTCTATAATCATAATAGAAGTTAATATTTTCTGCCAGAAAGTGTCCTTTCAGCTTCTCCCAAGGCACTGCTTGTATTTCTTTCTTTAAAACACAAAACTGAAAAAAAAAATGTATCAGTATTTACATTTTTTATTTCAATAGCTTCAGTAAACTTAAATATATAAAACAAAATATAGGCCTAACCGCTTGAAAATTTGAATTTTTTTTTAAATGGTAAACTTAAAAAAGTATCATAAAATTGTAATTATTTTGTTTAAGAACAGTAAATATGTATTGCTCAATAGTAAAATCTGGGGATGGTCTGGTCAGATGGTTGAATGTACAACTGCTAACCAGAAAGTCTTGAGCTCAGATCCCAGGCTCAGAGTGCCTAGAAAGTGCAAGAGTTCAGCCAGCACTAACGAGAACATGACTCATTTTAAGGAAAGTAAACTTCGCGGGCATAGCATATACCACTCTACTTCATCTGCCCCATCAACTAATCAGGGTTTGAAAGAATACTGTATTTTACTTACTTAATTGTAAAATGTACTGATCCAACTTACATCAACATTGTTATCCCATGGTAAAATTGTTCCATGTCTTAGTGCACCCCACAAAGTACCATAACATAATGTATGGGATACATTCAGCTTTGTCAGAATATCAGACACAGCAAAGGAAAGATTGATCAGCTTATCCATGATGAGCTGTGGGGTTATACACGGTGCTGGCCGTTCATACCATGGCATATGATGCATGTAGCGATCATTAACAACAGTAAACATCAGGTACAGTGAGAGCACAAACATAGCAAAGACAACATATACAGCTTTCCATGGCACCCTGGCTGCAAACCTTACACCCACTGTTACAATTTTTGAAATCATTATTTTGCCAGTTTAACAGTCTGTCTTGCTCTGAAAAATAATAAAATATTAATAATCACAAAAAGTATTGTTCCAAAATTTAAATCCAAAGTTTCAAAACTGTGGGTTTTTTTCAGAATCACAATTAAATTGAGAAATTTTTGAGAAAAAAATACAATTGAAAAAGGGGGTACTCAAAATGGAAGAAATTTGTTATTTTAACATTTTATGTAGTTTCTATGAAATTTTATTCTGAAGAACTGACATAGACCACTAAAATCTAACAAAATGTGTATTTTTTCTTTAGAATGCCTGTAAATTGGCTAGGTTAAACTCTAGTAAACTTAATTGATGTAAATATTAAATTAATTTAGTGGCTAGATCTATTTAGCTAAAATAGTTAGATATAGATCTCTATACAGTTTAATTTTTTTTAGTCCCAAACTTTTTTCCACATAAATTGTTTTCAGTTTAATTAGAAATTTGAATAGTAATTTACTACTGAATGCCAAACTGATAAATATGTCATTAAAATTAACTTTTAACAACGTTTGAGATTTTAAAATTTGCTATTTTAAAAAGCTGCTGTCTTTAAGCAAAATATTTTTAGAATAGTTCCCCTTAAGTTCCATTTTTATGAAAAAAGTTGAGTTTTTCTGTTAATTTTTATTGTCTTCTTTTAAGTAGAAAGCACAGGGAATGGCATGGTTGGGAATGTAACTATTAACTCCTGAGTTCTGCAACCTATCTAGAAGAAAAATTAATCAAACAGCTACTGCCTTGCAGTTGGAGTCAAGTGGCTGTATGGTGCATACCATGTTGACTCTTAGTACTTAACTGCGTTGGTGGAAATCTTCACAGGGAAATTAGAGGATCTGGAGTTTCAGATGATCTTGCCTTACTCTCACACAGGCTACAAAACATGAAAGAAAAATGCATGTTGATGCATTAGGAGCCATCTCTCAGTGCGTAGGTCTCAGGATCAACAAAGAAAAGACAGAAGTGATGAGAATTAACAATAACCAGCAGGCCCCAGTGACAATAGATGGAAGACGGGTAAATGATGTGGAAGAGTTTGTCTACCTTGGCAGCAAGATCAGCAAATCGGGAGGCACAGAGGACATATGTGCTACAATTAATAGAGCCTGCTGTGTTTTCACAGTTCTGCGACCCATATGGAAAAGTTCTGCAATCTCCGTTACCACAAAAATTAGGATATTTAACTCAATTGTCAAGGCAGTTCTGCTGTATGGAGAGTCTCCAAAGCAAGCACAGCAAACATACAGACCTTCATGAACAGATGCCTTAGACATATATTGAAATTGAGATGGCAGGACAAAGTGCCGAACATAGAATTATGGAGAAAAGCAAGGCAGGAGCCTATGGGTGTGCAAATAAGAAGGAGGAAGTGGCACTGGGTGAGACACACGCTACAAAAGGCTCACCCAAATGTTACACGCCAAGCGCTTGAGTGGAGTCTTTTTGAAGAACTGAAGCCAACATGGATGTCTTGGGGGATCGGATGAAATGGAAGGAAATGGTTGAGGCCCTATGTTCCATAAGGAGCAAAGAGGACTAAGTAAGTCAACAATTAAGAAAGAAGAAATACAGGGTACCAATTTTTTCTGCCTTTTATTGCTTTAAATTTTCAAATGTCCTGTTTTTTTTTTACTTATGTTTACAAACATTTAAATATTACTGCACACTTTCAGTTTATTGTTGCAGTTTATTTACTACGAGCCGACCCGCGGCATATCATACGCCGCTATTTAGTTGTTTGTGAATTCGACAGTACCAATGCTGCCACTGAAAATATTTGCTTTAAAACACTAAACCCCCATCCCCCCCCCCCCCCGTGAAAGCAGCCTCTTCTTAGTTACCTCCTCCAAGTTTAAAATAGTTTCAAACTGAATTATCTGCCCCTAATACCCGTCACCAAACCCGGCTCTACGATTGTTTTGTAAATATTTAGCGTGAACTACAACTCACCTGACCATTTGAGGGGGTGGGGGGGGGGTGGTAGCGATAGAGAGGAAGAGAGGGGACTGCAAGGCGCGCGCTTGCAGCTTGTTTTCTAACGGCTCCCAGAAGAGAATTATATATATAGATTTTCATTTTATGTTTTTAAGTGTTCTGTTTCTTTAAATAGTTATTTTGTGCACTCCTCCCCTTAGGACTTTGGTGTGTTATGTCTTTTGCGATCAATCCCATAAGTCTCCATCACTCCATCTTTCATACACATTTTGTTGTCAAATTGCAGATAACATGAGGGGGTGGGGTTTGTGACATCAGTTTATCAACTGAACAGTAAAGACTGTAAAGATTGTTCAACGTTATTGTTGGAAGATCACTTTAAAATGCTATGTAGCACTATGATAAATGAAAAATTAAAAAATTAAACATTAGTATTTATTTATGAATACCTGTTCAGAACAAACAACCATATTTACTGTAGGCCCACTATCTTGAGATGTGTGAGAGGACAAATTTAATGCATTATCTCCATCAAAAAGATAAAGGCTCCAAATTAATAATTATTGATGATGAAAGTACTTGAGATGATAAGGCAAGGCTCTGACAAGATGGTACCTGAAAAAAGAACATTTAACTAGAGTCCATGACAATGTCTCCATGCACTAATCACTAATCTAGATCTATATGATCTTAAATAATTATTAATTAAATATGCTGCATGTTTCTTGAGAAAAGTTCAACTCTGGTATAAGACTCTAACTTGCCACTCAACTATGATACTGATGATTAGGTCTAGGCCTATGGATAATTATTAATTATATTTAATCTTAATCAGTTTCCTAGAGTAGCCTCTAGCTACTCAAGTCTCAAGAGTCTAGTCAGTCACTCAACTCAGTCAACTGTCACAACACTTCACACTTTGTGACTTTACTGTGATTCACACTCACAGTCATCACAATGGTAGACTGGAGTGTTGACTAGGTCTCACTCTAGGACTCTCTAGCTAGACTAGTCTAGATTCTACACTTTACTAGACTAGATCTAGATTCTAAGATCTAGACTCTTACTCTTTTAGTCTAGTTTTAGTTAGTAGTTAGTAGATCTAGATCTAGATAAATTTCGTTATTAACACTAAGAATTTGGCCTACCATCAGAATTTGGAACACTGTTATTCTCAATTAAGTCCCCTTACCCTTGGATATTTACCGGAACCGCAATAAAAATCCTATCTTAAAAAACACCGAATGTCATATTTTAGGTGAAACACTTGAATCTTTATAACGGCATTTTAAAATAGATCTAGATCTAGATCTACATCTATGTCTGTAGTCTGTATGAGCTGTTGGGAAAAAATCTCCTATATTAACAATACATTTCCCAAACGACTTTAGCCATTAATGGACGACACATTTTTAAATTATATAGATCTATTATAGATCTAGATCTAGCAGTCAATAGTTATAGTTACTAGATAGATCTAGATTCTAGAAAGAATAGATCCATTGAAATTTCGAACCAGGCATGACGTTTTCCCCGGGGTTGGTGGGGAAGACAGTGGTTAAATTTTCTAATTTAAAATTAACGAGCCGGCCCGCGGCATAACATACGCCGCTATTTAGTTGTTTCTAATTTTCAATAATTCATAATTTGTGAATTCGACAGTACCAACGCTGACACTGAAAATATTTCTTTAAAACACTATAAGTAGCTCGTTAAGGACCATAACCCCCCCCCCTCCCCCTACGTTTAAAATCGTTGGCTCTGCTTGTAAACATTTAGAGTGAACACAGCTCACTAAAACCATGTAGGGGTGGGGAGGTAGGGAGAGCGTTTGCAGCTTGTTTTCTAACGGCTCGAAGAGGAGAATTATATATATAGATTATTCTTTTTCGTATTCGGTGGAGTTGACCCTAAGAGATGACCGAAAACACGGCTAGTGACCAGGTTAACTAGGCCAAGATTAAATAATTGTCCCTCAGGTCGCAGTCGGTGTTTTATTTCAAGGGGAAGCCATCCTTTCCCCCCCCCCCCCCCCCACATAAAAATATAAAACGAAAAACAAAAACATTTGACTTCTCTTGCATTTTTGCCACCATCTCAAAGCAATATATTCACAATAATCCCCCCCCCCCCCGGTTTATTTATGATAACACAATCTAAACCTAAGCTCGCAAAGTCTGTTACTTATCTGAATCCGTTTTAATTAGGCCTAATATAGGCCTACTAATTTTAATTAATAATTTTTAATATGTTTTAATTTTTTCAACAAGAGTTGAAGATTCAATATTTGACAACATATGTAATCTGTAATCTATAATAGGCCGCAGGGGAATTAAACATAAAAAAGTTTAAATTTTAACCTATTGTAAAAGAACAGGCTTTTTTTGCAGCATAATGTAAAAAGTAAACATATTTATTATTTTTAAATTTTATTTTATTTTTACATGGCAAAATATAAGAAAATCAAGTGAAACCTAACAATCCATTTTATCACAGATTGGACAAAATTGAAAGATACAATTTTTCAGTAATAATATTTTTATCTATAACAACTTAGAATAACATTAGCAAAAATGTTTAATCTCAATAAATACTTCAGGTAATAAACGTAACTGTTACTGTTACATAATATATACAGAGTGTACCATTATATTTTTTAATATGAACCAAATGTACATTTTTTTTAAATTAACATATCAAACTAATCAATGTGGTACTGTTTTCCCCATAGCTCATTTCAATAAAGTAAAAAATAACACTGAATAGAAGAATATTGTTTAGACATCATCAATGTCGAAAAACAATACAAAAAGGCTTGGGTTGTAACATCTAAGCATTTTTCCAATGATATGGCTGAAGTATATATGAAACATTTTTGCACTAATTCTAAATGAAGTATAGATCAATGAGGTGGTTTAATAACCTTGTATAATATAAATTCATACTAATTCATAGGTTGTTTTATTTACCTATTTTTTTTCCACTTTAGTATTTTACGAAAATTTACAAGTAAGCTTTGTCAATCACTTGGTGGATTAAACAAAAGAATCATCCTATATACAGTTTTTTAATTAAAAAAAATGATTTTTATTTAAGTAACCTTAAAAACAAGCATGTTACAGTGGTTACTTCTCAAATAAAATCTATAAAATTTTAATGCTTTCCTATCAGAGGAAAAAATTATTGAATACCAACTGAAAATAAAATTAGAATGTTAGATGCTCTCATTTAATAGTGAGGCCACAATTAATATCTCTACATAGCAGCAATTTCATTTTTTTACTACTGCAAAATACAATTGTCATACATCAATACTCACATCCCACATTAGATTTCTGATTGACCATTCAAAATTTTTCAGTGAGTAGTGAAAAAAGCTACTACCAAACAGTGCTAAATAGCTAAATCATGAGGCAGTGCACTCATATTAATTTAATTAACATAACAGATCACCTTAGTCAAACATCAAATCACTGGTAGGAGGATATTTACTTTTCCATAACATGGATGAAACAGTGATAACACAATTTGTTAGTTGTAAAATATAGATACACAATTTATTCATGGAAAAAATAATTGGCCAGTAAAATACATTTTTAAGAAATAAATTTTAACAATTTCTTAACAAATCAGCTAAAAAAGTAAGTTGAATCCAACACATTATTTAGGTCAAAAGTCCCTGAAAATAGAAAGAATTATTGAAAATTTTAAATTGTGATTTTTGTTGTTTTCATACAATTTTAAAACAAGACCCTACAGTCAGGGACACAAAATTGTTGATTGGGTTATTTCAGACCGATATTTTAAACAAAATTACAAGCTTTAATTGAATTCCAAAACTCCTTCGATTGCTTTTAGAATGTCATGCAAAGTATCAGTCTTCTAGTGAACTATACCAAATTACTTAATGTAATTTTCTAAGAGTCAAAATGTTATATTTAAAGAAACCAATAAGTTGAATAAGTATAGTACCTCGTTTTGGGAGATTACCAAGTTGTTGAATCAAGGCTGGAATATCTACTGCTTTCATATCTTCTTGCCTTAATAGAAAATGTTTAATGAGATGAGCAAGGAAAAAGGCAACTATTTTTATATATTATCTTTTATATATATACTTTTAAGTTTAAGGGTATAAATTTATGTGCACTTACAGTTGTGGATTATTATGTGATCTCTTTACCAGGTCAACTAGATGCTGAGACAAGTTCTCTAGAAGTGGTTGTTTATGCATATTCACAAACTGTTCTCTACATATCTGGTTCATACAATGAAAGAATTTTTTTAAGAATGCTTTAAGCATTTTAAACATTTTTATTACTTCGAGAACACTCTTAGTATTTAGACTATTAAGATTTTTAATCTTTAATTGTTTGTAACAAATACACCCCAGCCCCAGTAATGGCTAAACGTCAAAATTAAGTCGTTTTTTTTTTCTTTTAAAATTTTAAAATCTATTTATTAAAATATACACTTTAATTGTTATAAATTTGATAGGGGATTAGCATAAAAATTATTTTGAATTTTGCATTATTTTAAAGTGGTAAATGTTTAACAAATTTAGATACATTTTCAAATATACTTACTTTGTTCATAATTGGGACATCACAAGCATGGGTCCAGTAGCAGTCATGAACAGAAACAAAAGTTATACCTGCACTACAATAATAAAATATACTGTATCAGTTATATTTGTAAATTAAGTTTGAAACAAAGCTACATCTTTGTCAAATACTATTAAAATAAATTAAAACTTAAACTGCAGCAATTTTTAAACTGCATTTTAAAAATGTAACTTACTGCATGCAGTAGAGGGAGGTAAGCATCATGTGTGTTGAGTCCAGAGAGTGAATGTAGTTTGGAGGAAAAGCATTTTTCTGCTTCATCGTATTCGGTTTACTTAAATAATGAAATACAAAAAGCTGATATAAAGTACATTGAAAGCATTTTAGTTAATTAAATTAGCTAGTAGTATTGTTACAAATTTCTATTTAAAAAATTTCCTGCAAGCTTCTATGATATAAATTTTAAGTTTTTTTTCTGCATTAATATTTTCTCTGAAAGCTAAAGGATAAATATTACTCTCTCTTATGATTTGTCTGCTATGGAACTGGCTAATTTAGAGTTTTACAATATGGGCACAGAGGATAGGATAGGCTCTTAATTTTAAGGAAACAGTATTACAAATGTTGACCAGCAGGATCAAATTCATTTTAAAAATTAGTTTTTTTAACACACATTCTTTCTTTAGGACAACTTATAATTTGAGACTTAGTGAATCAATGGTACTTACACTTTGTGGTGTAAACTGTCATCTTTGCCTTGTTTTTTAAAGTAAGGCTGTAGAACAGGGAAACCTAGAGGAGTCAACCAGTCAATAGGTGCAAAAGCTGAAATTTGTCTAGCTGAGTCAGTAAGCCAATCCTAGGAATAAAAAAAAGACTTAATTTTAGATTTTAAACAAAAGGAAAATTAATATAATTCAGCTGAGGTAATTGTAACTTCTACTGTTTCTTAGAACACAATGTAAGCTATTATCCAAAATTCAATAACTTCTTGTATGCTTTGGACAATTTGGAACTAGGGGTTGGGCTGAAAGAGATGCTCCATAATTATTACTCTTGCCTCGTACTGTTAAAACAATACAATTTAAGTATTTACCTGGATGTCTTTAGTTGCAGTAAACATTTCTCTTAAGCAGTTGAAAGTTGTTTCAGTGAGGTAGAGACTTGCACCCCATGCATGCTCACTGGGAAAATTTGGGATATCTTTTAATTGACGGTGAATTTGTAACTTAGCTCCATAGTAAGTAACACCATATACAGTTGTCATTATTGTTTGCTTGATGACCTGGAGAAAAAAAAAGTCATTGTTATTAAGTGATGGAGGTAGGGGGGGACTGCTTCCCCCTAATATGCATAAATATTATAATTCTATATATAAAGTAGCCAATATTTTGTAAATATTCCAACATGATTTTAAGAGTGTTTCCAACTCCCCCTTCCAATACCACTGATTATAAAAATTCATATTTTCTAAAAAGAGTTTTAGGAAGTAACAGTGGTTTTATAACATTCAAAATTGTATAAAATATACACAACCCCCCCCCCCCCCCCCCCCCCAAATGCTATTTAATGTGTCTTTCAGTTTGATTTCAGTTTATTTCACAACAACAATGCAAAAACTTGAACTTTTAAAATTACTCTATTACCTTTCGCTTGATAAAACCCTCAAGAGCTTTAGCAATTTCTTTTCCTTCTTCTGCATCTCTTTTTCTAGTTTTCTCCACCTGTATCAAAGAAAGAGTCCAGTTATCTTATTGACAATTATGGTTTTCCAGTGTGTAAGTCTAGCTTTGTATAAAAGTAATTTTTCAATACCAGTTCCACAACATCGCTGTAAACATCCTGAGGTGCATCAAAGGGTTGCAAGTTTACAGATTCAGCACCTGCTTGATCTTTACCCAATGCTGCATAATGCTGAAGCCCATTGCAAGAGCCATCCTAAACATAAAGTTTTAACTAAATCAACATCTTAAACAATATTCAGCTGTGAAGCTTTTTTTTTTACTTAGCCAACTGTAGCCTACATAAGGCAAAGAATCAAAACTTTTAATAGCAAATGGCTTTATCTCAAGTTTTAAAAAAAAAGAATTTTTTTTTGTCTAAGTATTATGAGAAATAAAAACAATTGCAACTTTTGTTAATTAATAATAAATTACCTGGTGCACTGGGAAATGACAAATATAATCTTCTTTATTGCCATCAAACCTTTCAATTTTTGCAATCTCCATACAGCAAGCTAATGCCTGCCATGGCTCATCTGCTGCCTGCCACCATTTATTACCCTGAAATCAAAGTTGAAACAATAGGAGCATTATGTCATTATAAAAAAGTACATGTATTTTTTAAGTAGAAAATAAAGATAAGGACAGCTGATCATCATCAATGCCACATTTTGTTTGATGACAACTTTTACAGAAGAACTAATTATTAACTCACCTTTTAAAAATTAAGCTGAAAATATTTTACAGCTACTATGACAACTATCTAGAGTTTTACAGAACTAAATATTAATTAGCTTAAGTAACTAGAGAACTAATGTTGGTAAGTATTCCCAAATAACTAAAACTAAACATCTATTCAATTTAAAAGCAAAACTAAATTTAATAAATTTACACATAAAAAAATGGTGACATTAATTTCAAAAGTTTTTTTAAATTATATTTTAAAAAAACATACTGTTAAAGGTCTGTCAGCTGAATCTAAAATTTCATGCATTAAACTTTCAGCAAACTCCAACCTTTCAGCATTGGAACATCTGTTGGGTAAAGACATTATATTGTGAAAAATATAAACTGTACAATAGTACAAAATTCTATATAGAATACATACTATGACCATAAAGTTGTAATTGTTAGCTACATGAATTTAAAAACTATTAATTTTTTAGAATATTCTGGTGAGCATTGAATACTCATATATATGAGCCCTAAGTCTATACATGGAAAGTGATACTGACCTTTTCTTTAGTCCTGTAAGATTTATCAGGTGAATTTTTAGCCAGTCAAATCCTTTTGCTCCTAAAGGTTTTCCTTTTGCAAACAGTAACATACCTCGTACATTGTCACTACCTTTAAAAATTAAATTTAAATATTACATTGTATAAATTTAAATATTACATTGTATAACAAAATCAATTTTTTACTTTGATATAGTTATATAAAGAAAATCTTTAGTTTGCCAACAAATATTTTTTTAGATTAAAGCAAAGAAAAAGAAATTGCAGTTCTTAAGCAATGTGGAGATGTTGAGCACCAAGACTGCTAACTCAAAAAGATCTTATTTACAGCAAGCAAAAAACTCCACTTTATTTTTTGTCTATTGAACTACATTAACCTTTAAACTCCTTATGCAGCCTTTACTGCTAAATGCCTGATGTCGCCCAAAGCAGAATTTTTATATTGTGTTGTTACGGTGATAATTATACTTTTTTTTATAGCTATTTATTACAAAATATATTCTCCAGTTAAAAGAAACGAACGGAAAACAAACTTCCTTTCAGTATTTTTAGTATTCGAAATCACGCACAGGTTAGATTTAAGAAATTGTTTTTTAAAATGTATGTATGTTGTTGATGAAAATTTTATTTTTTGTGAATTTTTCAAGACCCACCCTATATTTAGGTTAATGTTTATAGAGTAGTGCCCCTTTCCTTAGGATCTGGGGAGGGAGAAATATGACTAGGAGTTAAAAGGTTAACAAAAAACTACCCTGAAATCTAAATGAAGTTCTGCAAGTGAAAAAATGTTTGATAAAAACTAAGCAGTTACATACCTAAGTGGTTAAAATGAGGTGGAAGTGGATAGGTACGCCCTCGAAAATCTAATGAGTGTGGAAACCAAAATACTTCATCTCTGAACTGCAATATATAATAATACCAATAATAGTGAAAAGTTTCATTTGGATAAATTATACAGAATTTACACAGTGAAAAGTAAAAGTATTGACTTCCTCTTCAAAACAATAGAACTTTTTAAAAAATAAAAGATAACTAAAAATAAAAAATATAAACCTTATTAGCAATAGACAGTCGATAAAGATCTGAACACCAAAGTCCATGAACATCATGTTTCTTCTGCTGTAGTTGTATCCTTTCTCTGTACACTGCAGCCTTTTCTCTACTGGACATGTCACTGTTATTTAAAATAAAAATCATCTTAATAACTATTTGATAAACATGACTCATGGAATTTTTTTTTAAAAGCACAATAAAACATAATGAAAAAAATGCATACACTTTGATATTAGGCAAGGGTGGTAAATCTGCAGCTGATGGAGAAACTTTCAGTTGTGGATTTCCTTTATTGTTAAAAATTTCTATCTGAAGGTCAAGGATCTGTAATAAAAAGTAATTTTGTACTTAATGACATTTAAGTTAAAGCCTATGTAGTAAGATACTAAAAAGTATTAATCTAATGATTCTTAAAAATAGTTTGCTCTTTTCCCACATTCTCCATGAAATGTCAAAAAAAAACAAAAAAAAACGCCAAATTATTTCAGTAATAAAAACACAATAAATAATCTTACCGGTTTATTTATTATCCAAGCACATGAACTAAGGGTGTTCAAGCTATCAAGGACAGCAGAAAACTGAGTTTCTTTGACATCATTAAGAACATCGATGTTGTTTATATCACTACTCAGCCTAATTAGAGAATCTATGAACACAGAAAGCACAACCACTTAAAGCACTTTTTACTGAAACGTATTGTTAGTTAGTTTTACCATAACATTAATTATGAAATTCTTATAACCAAATAGTAGTTTTAATATTATATTTAAATGGATATAACCTAAACAATGGTAATACACATACTTGACCCAAAGAAAAGGCCACCTATATTCTTTGATATCCATGGAATTGGGGGTACTATCATTGGAACAGTGCTTGGTTCAAAGGAAAATGACTCCATATTGTCCATTTTAAACAATTTTGAAACAGCAGGATGAAGCTACATAGACCAATAAATCAATTAATAATTACAAATGCAAAATAATTTCCGGATGATAAGTTTCAATTTTAAAAAACTTAAGTTTAAGTTTAATGAAAAAATTATTACTAATAAAAGATGTGTACAGTAAAAAAAAGTGTCAGTCCTTACTTTAATTTCAGAGTTGGAAGGAAGTGTAACATCAGGTCTATATATGGTGCAAAATGCAGGCACAAATCTCCTAAAACAGTCATCAAAATAATCTCATATTATAATATAATATATTAAACATTTTATTCACATTATAATTGAAGCAAAATTCATTAGCGGAGACAGTTATCAAGTTTTGATTGCTCTAACTATATTGGCCAAAATTTTGAAAAAGATGCTTTCTAGTTCTAAAACCTCAAAGATAATTAATAACTAGTGAAAGAACAATAAAAATACGTAAATAAAACATTATTTACAACTTATGACAGTATCTTCAAAACCTAGTAACCAGTGTAAATGAATGATCTATACATAATTGGATGCAACAGACTGTAACAAATATAAAAATATCTAATGCATTAAGGAGCATAGGACAGTAAGAGGTTAAAAACAATATTAAAGATACTTACTTAGGACTGCTGGGTCGAAATAAATTTGCATCTATTTTCAAGTCATAAAGAACCATATCTAAAAGAATGCGCCCAACCTAAGTGCAACATAAATATGAAATATTTAGAAAAACATACCTATTTAACTTTTATCTGTTTTGGATAATCACTCAACAGACCAGCCTCAAAACATATTGCATAACAAATCTTTATAGATATAACATTAAGACGACAAACAAAATGAATGCAGTAAAATAATTTTCTTACTTCTCTGTGTACATATGCAGGCCATTTTTTCTGAGACAAATCCTGAAATTATACAAATTTGATTACCCTAAGTATTTAAAGAATAGTCATTCAAAACACTATTGGCCTAATTATTAACTTCATTAAGTAAAAAATAGTGCCTTAAGGGAAGAAGACAATTACCATATTCACAGTGTCATAATATTTTTGCATGCACTGTAGCCACAAAACCCTGTGGTTTTTTAGTGTGTAATCTTTATCCAAAAGATTTTCCAAATAATGTTCATACAGTTTCATCATCTAAGGTGGGAAAACATAACAGAAAAATTAGTAGCAGTGACTCAAATTTAAATGTACTAGAAAAAAAAATGTGCTGTGTTGTGACTGATTTTATGTGATAAACAAAAGCTTGCAACAGACAAAAGATTTTGTATATTTTGGCTCAAGTTTGGGTCTTTATAAAGTCTGGCCACTGTATTTGGAGACAAATGAGGATCACAAACACTTTGTAGTTGCTTAAATACAGTGTTTTTTTAATCACTTAAGTATTGATTAAGTTGCCTATACATCGTTAAAAAGAATTTTTATGTATACAAAACACACTTTGATTCTAATGGAAAAACTGAATTTATAACCTCACCTTTTCTCCTAAGCCAGCAGATATCTTAGAATTGATATTGTATTTGCGATTTATTGCATGTCCTATCTGAACCCTAAAGAAACTCTGGGTGGAACTATATCCCTCAGATGATAAGAATAGCTTATTCAAGAACTGTGGAGAGAAAAAAAAGCAGTGTGAGAAATAGTAATCTATAGTTAAGTTACAATGTATATGACATTTCTTAATGTTAAAAGAATTATTGCTAAATTCAAATTAGAGAAATTAATTTTAACCTAAAAGTAAGTACTATAACCTAAAGGTAAATATCAATGTATTGCCTAGTTAAAAAAAATTACCTTGATAAGAACATCGACATAATCCTCTGGAGGGAGCAGCTTTAAATATGGGTAAAGATTCATGCTTGTACTGTCTAAAAGAACATAATTCTTTAGTAAATTTACCATCAAATACAAAAGAGGAGAAATCAATATTCTAAACAGATTTTCTAAATTAGTAAAAATTATAACTACCATACAACTGATACAATTTTAAAAGAATAATTTATACCTCGAGCTTTTTTTTCAAAACCCTCAAGTTTCTGCTTGAACGAATCTAATAATACCATTCTCCAATCATCTAAAACTTTTGCACGTATTTTTTCCTAAAAACAAAAGATTTAAAAGAAGTTTTGTGATCAATGGAATTATATTTTTTGTCCATTTAGACCAGTTCATTAATTCGTTAGACAGAAGCTATACATTATGAGTGAAGTTTTTAGGCCACCCACAGTTTTCATACCAAATTTTAAAAATATTTCCAGACTTTTCCATGACACTACACGGTCTTTACGGTTGTTCAACACAATACAACAGTGTAGTACTAGTAATGATTGAACTGCTTACTGGACTAGAATACTAGAACAAGTCATATTGTCATGTCATGCATAGATAGAAATTTAAATTAAAGTACATAATAAAAAAGCTTACCAGGTTAACTTTGGGGTTGACACGAGATGAAGAAGTATAAATAGACTTTACTGTGATTTCTCCTGCTTTTTCAATATTAAGTTGGACTAATGCTTTTTTAAAGATTTCATCCTTGCTCACGTCAATGCTATATTGATTTTTTTCAACTGCCTGTTTTGAAAAAAAAAATTAATAATTGTATCACCTATCACCTGAAGTAACTACAAATTTATTTTTCAATCAAAACTGCCAACTCGAAAATATAAATACCTTTTCATTTGTTGCATTAAGTGCTTTGAGAAGGTCATTATTGTAGTCCAGGTCCAATTTTGGTGGGTTTAAAACAAAGTCAGGTTCAACAAGTTTTATGGCCTAAGAAAGGAAACAATGCTAATAAATGTGGATTTTTTTTAGAATATCAAGTTTAGGTTTTTTGAGTTAAAAAATAGCACTTGGATAAATCACCTTCAGTATGTAAGTGAGCTCATCAGATTCAAAACTACAAGTATTTACAAGTTCCTTAATGTCATAGCCCTGAAGAAAAATATGATAAACTATAAGAAACATGATTATATTAAAGAACATTTCAATCAAAACTAAATATATGAAGTTAAAGAATTACAAAAAACATATCAGCCTTTTCTAGTATTTAAGTATATTAAACTTTTTGCACTCTGATACAAATGTCATTTCTTCTATTTCTATTTAACTAATGAATATTTGTTTTCCATATAAGGTGCTAAAAGTCACTGTATCATTATCTTATTGAATCTAAACATGCAAAATAAGAAGTTTTAAAATTATATAGCACTTTATCACTCAACATAAATAAGCCCTGATTTAACTAACTGATAAGAACAAATACTTGTACAGAACAAAAACTAAGAGCAGCAATTAAATATTTAAAATAGTAATGTATTTTACTTACATGATCCTTAATATCAGACAATAATTTCTCACATAATGTATAGTCCATATTTTTCATTCTACCAATACATTCCAGACAACCTGCATAATTTTGCAATGATGGTACCAACCCTTGTTTTTTGATCAATGCAAATAAGTTTTTTATTGCTGACAAGTTTTTCTAGAAAAAAAAAATAAAAGTGGTGCTTAGACATACAATTTTTTAAAATCAGAAAATGAAAAAAAACAACAATTGTTTCTATTTGTATAAAAAAATAACAGGCCATTTTCAATAGGATTACAATTATAGTGAGCTAAAGTAATACTTAGGCAAGTTAACTATTTCTATTAGCAAACAAAATTAAAGAATTCTTTAATTATAAAAGAAGGATATAAAAAACATAATAATAATCGAGATTACTTGTACACAAATGTTACTAGTAATATTTTACAATATAAACAATTGTGTAATGTGAAATTAAACTTAATTCACATCTATTACCTTTTTTGCAAGTGCATGTATTAATCTATTCAAAATGTCAACTGATTCAATTTGATGTGCTGTATTAGAATACTGTAGATTGCGCACAGCTAGAAGTTCCTAGAAATAAAAAGTAAAAAAATGTTGGATGTTTTCCTTAGAATCAGAAGTGGGTTGGAGGATGCTTTAGATCTCCATTTAGTTGGAGGAATATATTATTCTTAAAATTTAAGACTCAAAGAATTACTGTCTTCAATACTTTAAATCTTGATAATTTCTTTATTATGAAATTATGAGTAATTATTTGAGTACCAGTTGTTTTTTTTTTAGGAAATTATTACAAATACAGTTTAAGTATAAATTATGATATATAAGCCCGCTAATGGGGATGAATCAGGCATGCCTTAAGATGGGAAGAAGTCAACATCACAAAGAATCAGCGTCCATTGGACCGCAGTCCCCAGAAAAGAAAAAGTAAGCCCACCAAAGCAGGAGGACAGTGGAAGGAGAAGCAAGGGTTGCTAAGCTTACAAGGGCTAACTAAAGAGAGCTGGCCAAAACAGAGCAGAGGTGTAGTTGCAGCCCTTTCCTCCTCAGGGACTTCAAAGGAATAAGCCAAGCAAAGTCATAAATTAAGAAAAAAATGGCTCAATGACAAAGGACCCATTTTTCAAAGCTTTTTAATGTCTAAAACAGTTAGAAGAAGCTTAACTATTTTCTAATTTGCAAATATAAATCTATTTTGTGTGTGAGATTATTTAGTTCAATTTTGAACGTAATTGAGGATAGGGTATTAACAATTTCAGAAGATTAATGTAAATCTGTTTGGGTAACTAATTGAAAGAAGTGTTTGTACATTCAAAATGTTACATTTCTTTTTAATCAATCAAAGCATGAATAATCTTTAATAGTTATTTGCTTCCGTATCCATCTCTGTAGGGCCAACAATAATTGACAAACTTCTTTACTAACTCTCAAAATATTAATTGTTGAAAATAATATTGCAATTATTTAAGGGGTTGTATTAATGTGGTTATATACACATAATACATAGTTTGACCAAAAAATAAAGAAAAATATACTTACACATCCTGCGTGAGAGCATGCTTCTGCATACGCTTTTTGGTTTAATTTATTAAATTCTCCAGCAACATTAATTACTTTACTTTTTGGGGATTTTTTACTCTTCTTTTCTTTCAGATGAGTTTTCTCCTTATCAGCTTCAACAATTGTTTTCTTTTGATCTGGTTTTGCTAAAGAGTTTGGTAAATCAACAAAATAATCTTCACTTTCAATTTCATGAAGTGTTACACTTGGTGATATAGGGAGGTGTTCATCAAATTCTACACCAAAAGAATTTACAACAGGATGATTTATGTCTAGTACAACTGCTGAATCTTCAACTTTTAAAGGTTGTGTGCTGCTTACAGTTGACTGGTGAGGCTCAGCTGGTAGTAAACATGCACTTGTATTATAAGTTAACTCTTCAGTGTCTGCTTCTGTTGTATCAAGGCTCCAGGCATGGTTTGTATTAACAACTTGAATATTTTTGACTACTTCTAAATCAGTGACAAATTTTCTAAAACTTGAGCTAAAGTCAAAGGTATCATTGACTTGTCCTGTGGGAGTTTTATAATTTAAATGTTCAGGAAAAATCTCACTATATTTTAAAGAACTAATAAATTGCTTGAAATCACCAATGCTAGAGTTATGCAGCTTTTCTCCTTCTATATTTTTAGAGTTACTAACTGAACTGATTTGGCCTATATATTTTGCTGCTTTCATTATAGGAACTGAATCAGGTTTATTGAATGGATTACTGAGTTTGCTTACTTCTCTAGTGTAGTTAGAATTTGATTCACTTAAGGAAATATTTTCTGTAATTCCAGGGTTTGTTTTACTAAGTATGTGAGTTTCCAACTGGTGAGCAACAAAGTCACTACGATTTTGAAATCCTGAACTCGAAAAGTCATTAACATCTGAATATACAGTTTGTAAAAGGTTAGACTCATCTGTATTTAGATTCAATAAATTGCTAAAAACATGCGTAGAAACAACTGTGCGTTGAGCCCCATGTAGAGACTTATTTTTTACTAGCTGTATGGCACGTTTTGTTAATACTGAAAAGAAAATAGGTACTGAATTAAAAATATATAAATATTGAAATTTTAGAAGCAATGGTAAAAATACTTTTACTTTTAGAATTTAAGTTGGGTACTTCTTAAGTGTAGTTGTATTCATATTACTAAACATTTCTATTACACACAATAAGTTAATGACAAGCTGCTATTCAATAATCCTGGGTAAATATAAGCCCTATTAACATTACACCTGGCATGTTAAACACACAAAGAAAGTTTGTATATTCTATAACAATGTTGGAGAGGCCATAATTTTACTCAGAGCATTATATTTTTTCAATACTCATATGATGCATTAAGAAATGTATATTTAAATTATTAATGCTGTGAAGCTACATCTATTAACTATACATGGTAAATAATACAATGATACATTGTACCAAATATCATAAATCCTTTAAGACTTATTATTCTTTTAAATTTCACAAAAATAAATACTACATACGATTCACAAGGTCCTGTTGCAGCTGTTCCAATTCTTTCTTCTGTTGTGTTTTACTCTTACGTTTCTTTTTTTTCCAATTATGCATTGCAGCTGTCATATTCGGTTTCACAGAGACTGTTGTTGAATAGCTCTTTTTTTCATTTTTAGTTAACTGAAGATCACTTCCTATGGAAAAAAAATCTTTTAAAAAGCAGTTGGATAAATAGTGGCACTTACAAAACCTTACTAGACAAAAGAAATAGTATCAGTATAAATGCAGTGTAGATCAGTTCAAGCCTCATGTTATTTTGCCTACCTTCTGTCCTTTTATTAATTAGTATTGTTATTTTTTTTTTAACTTATTGATTATTCCAATTAATTTATTATAACTTTAAAACTGAGGATATTTGAATTAAAATAATAAATGAAATGTACAATTTACAAAAATGTCTTTAAATATTTCTTGCTAATGTATGTTTTCTTCCAAATTGTATCATATTATTTTATATAGTGGCTATAGTTCTAGCAGAAAAATTGATTTTCAAACACATTTTCAATCTCATACTCTCCTAATAGACTATGTGTAAAATCTGTGTGTGTGTGTGTGTGTGTTATTGAAAATGAAGTGGCTAGAAAATAACTGGTTTTTGTATTACTTTCTAAAGCTTCCAAGTCTGCAAATAGACTGTCACAGTGACAACAGTGTAACTAGACATTTCCATGCATGACTAGCTAAGACTATTTATCTTATGTATCATCATCACTGCCTGTCACTATTTCTGGGGTATCAGCCCTCAACTAAAGATCTCCAGAGTCCTGTCATTGAACATTTTCTCAACATAACACCAGGTTTAACAAATTCTTTGTATTTTTAGCTTCAAGGTCCCGTTGCCAGGTGTTTCTTGGTTCATTTGCACCAACCCCCCACCCTCTTCCGAAATTCTGCATCAGCTGAAAGTTGTACAGTCCTTTCCCATAAGTGTAATCCAGTGATGGTGTTGGGCCAGCCAATCCTGAGTACTTTTCTTTGCTGATGAACCTGATAGTCTCCAGCCAGCTGATTCTGAGTATTTTTCTGAGGCAGCTGTTCATATTAAAGGTCTGGACCATCAATGGTGTCATCCTCAAAGTATCTGCCCCAGCAGCACAGATTTTACATTGGAGTGCCCCTTGGACGCCCTTGGTGGTCAAGAAAAACTCACTGGAAGCTCAGATTAACCTGAGATTTGCTTATTAGCTGTAACAAAGGCTGCTCTTGCTTTGCTGATCCTTGCTTTAGTATTTTCATCTTTATATGTTCCATCCTGATGGTCCACAACAATACTAAAATACTAGCCAACTAAGATTCTAACTCAAAGTCAGTTCTTACTTAATACTTACTTACTTATTACTTAACTTTACCTTAAAACTTTAATAATTATTAGTATTAGAATCTATAATTATTAATTAATCAATGCTGAGGCCTACCTTTTTTAATATCTTTATTCAAATTTCTCAGTGAAAACGTTCCTCCACATAAATAATTCCTCGTTACATGCCTTTTAGCATCGATAATAATAGCATTGTGTGTAAAACATCTTTTAAAATAAAGAAGTTTGCGATATTCGTATAACTTTATAACTGACATAACTGTCAATAACTCTAGACTAGATCTAGAATCTAGCAAAGATTCTGATACTGATAATGCAGATATTATTAGGATAGAGATAATGAATTAGAATTACACTACACTCTTGACTCTAGACCTAGATTTATATCCTGATTCTAGAACTAGATAGTGTAGACTATAGAGAATGCATTCGAGTAATAGACTAGTAATGAGTGTATGTCTAGATTTAGATCTAGAATCTAGATCTACATATAGAATCTACATAACAGTCAACAGATGATAACAGAACCATGCTGAACGAATGACCTTGATTTAAGAATACGTTTCCTTAAGTGAAAAGCGTCTGCTATTTTCTAAAAATAAATCAGACTTGTGTATCCTTACCTTATGGCGGATTATGGGGAGGGATGGGTCATTGTTTCTTTCACACATTTTCTCAGTTAAATGGGAACTACATTTTTGCTGCTTTAAAAACAAAGATAAACTGAAAAAAAAAGCTATCTATGTGGGGATAGTTTTGATAACTAACTAGATTTCAAAATTCTATATTAAAATGAAAATATGCGTCTGTTTTCTGTTTTACATTGCTAAACCATCCAATCGCCCTGAAAATTTATTAGCTTGCTCAGAACCCAGAAGGAAGGTTTCTTCCATAAAACATATTAAATATTGTAGAGGAGCCCGGAGGTAGTGCATTGTGCCCGGTGGCTACCTTAGAGTTAGCATCTGAAAACCGCTGATTTAAAGTGATTTGGCGTCAAGAGCTATACTTTTTCTAAAGTCAACTAGGATTGCCAGGTGTCCAGTTTTGAACTGGACAGTCCAGTATTTGAGCAGACTGTCCAGGATAAAATAAATATAAATACTGGACAAGTATATGAATAATACTCCCCTTCTTCTGCTTTGCGGCATACCTGAGAAGGGAAGGATGGAAAGGTGTCCAGTATTTTCGGAAAAGGTATCTGGCAACCCTAAAGTCAACAGGCGCATATCCTCCGGCGCCCATGAACTCATTAGAATCGGTGTGCCCGAGGCGGGATCCGGACAAAAGGCCGACTTGGGCAAAAGGCCGACAAGACAAAAGGCCTCCAAGACTAAAGGCCCACAGCTAAAAGACCGACATCCAAAAGGCCCACTAGACAAAAGGCCGACATCCAAAAGGCCGACAAGACAAAAGGCCGACTGCTATAAGGCCGACATCTAAAAGGCCGACAAGTTTTATAAAACAACAAACTACAATTACAGACATGTTTGATTTTTATTGAAAACCAGTTACATAATGATAAAGGTATATTACAAAATAGAAAAAAAATAGGGTCAAGTATGACAAATATCAAATGTAGTGTTTCTTTTAGCAAAAAACAAAAAATAAGTTACCAATGTTGGCATACTTGTATCACAATCACAACAGAACTAATGAATCCAACGAATATAGTGTACAATTTCTTTTCGTGCAATTCGCAATGGACGAAACTAAAATATAATTCAAAGTTTGTCAGTATTTAACATGTAGTCCAGTCAATGCACGTGATCGTTCTATTTCATTCAGTTTCTTTTATTTCTTTGCGAGATATAGTGGTAACACCACCTATTTATTTAGCCTTTGTACACTCCCGTCATCTCCAGTCATCTCCAGTCGCATGGACTTCATTATTCACCTTATAAGGATAGCAACTAGCATTGTCTTTTGACATTCCCCCTTATTGCATGTGGGCGATGATGCGACGGCTTTTGACTTGGTTCTTTGATGATTGTCTCACCTCGTTGACATAGAAGGAGCTTTAAATGCCAGTAGTTGATCCTTTGTGTTTAAGACACTCCCGTAATCTTCAGTCGCTTGGACCCGATGGTTCACCTATAAGGATAGCAATTAGCATAGTCTTCTCTCTTGAAAGTTCCACCTTATTCCATGCGCTATTTCGATGGTTGTCAAGATAGCAGCTATGCAGTAACACATATTTTGCGATATTAGTATTTTGTATGCTTGTCGGCCTTATGGTTTGTCGGCCTTATGGGCTGTTAGCCTTTTGGCTTTGTCGGCCTTTTTGGATGTCGGCCTTTTGTCCTACACCCGCCCCAGGTTACATCGTTGCGCAATAATCTAGAGATATGGTAGACTAATAAAAATCGATGATTAAATCGAACAGGGGGGGGGGGGGCTTCGGCATTAGTGTACATTTGCGTGCCCCGAGTTCTCCAGCGGCCATCTTAGCATATGGGGACCGTTGATTGGTCGTCCAGCACAGGTCGTCAGGGTAAAAATTACACCAGGGAATGTCTCCGGCGCCCCGGCGAACGAGTAGCCCGGAGCGCCCCGTCCCCTATGAGCACTCTGGCACCTACAATCGTTTTTAAGAGCACCCAACCAGGAGTCGCACCCACGGTGCTGCGGTAATGTAACTCGTGGTTCGCGAGAGCGCCCAGACATCTGGGCGGTCGCCAAGGGGTTTGTACCTTACTACTACAGAGGTTAATCAACATACTCTTAAATTCTTCATACAACCCGGGGTGTTTGGGTGATAGAAAGAATCTTGCCCCAAAACTACAATCTAATAAATTTTCAAGCTAACAATTTAACTCCAAAAAACAGGTGTCATATTTTATATTACATAATAATATATATCGATCTCAAGAGGTTCTACTAATTGTATTATCTTAATTATATTGGCTATGAGAATCGTCAATAAATGATGGCACGCTTTTTTGACGACTCGTACCTTTCCTCTTCCCCTCCTCAATCGTCACACATAGTCACAGAAGTCACAGAAAGTCACCCCCCCCCCCCCCGGCACCGAAATAAAATTGACGTCGAATTTCAGCCTCTCAAGACAAAACGTGTTTTTTTTTAAGTGATTTATTTCTGAAATATTAATGACCGCTGTCATTATTAGTCTACGTTACATTGACCAAATTTATACTAGTAGGCCTATTTATTTCAACTGCGGAATTATTAGGCTAATAAAATATCCAATAATGAAAATGACTTTTTAACATTCTAAAGAGTGATGTCACACGTTTGAACCCACTCCCTCTTGTCACACATGTCACAAATGTCTGAACCCTAACCACTTGAGGCTTTGATATAATGATAATGTGACATAATTAATAATAATTAATAGCCAAATTTAATAACTAAAAATAAAGCGGGAGTGATGTCCCCTAAACTATCTCGAATATTCTAATTTAACACTGGGAAAATGAGGGGGGGGGGGGGGGTGGGAGGACTAGGGATATACATTATTTTAAACAATTTTTAAATAGTTAATATTTTTTGGAATAGAATAGAATCTCGTAGAAAATGAATTGCGCACCAAATGAACAGCAAACAATATGATTATGTATGTTTAGTGTATAATAGTGTTAGTGCGGTAGTGCTTTACAATTCTGTAATGACGTACGAACGACAAAAGATCGAGTTTAAAAATCATATGCGTTTTTTGATAAATCGGAAAGAGCATAGATTACTACTTCCGGTCAACGGAAAATTACCCATAATTTGAAATAAAACAGAGAATTAGATTATTTTACTCATATGTGAAATTTTGTCTATGTAACAGAAGCAGTACTCAAGATATAGACTTTTGAAAAAAAACAAAACTAAATTAAGTTCCACTCACTTCCGGTTACCGGAAATCGCTGAAAAATTGATACAGAACTACACATTTGATATAATACTTGAGTATGAAATTTAGTCAACTTAGCTGTAACGGTTCTTAATTATAGTGTTCACAGACACACATCCACACAGACAGAATTGCACAGCTCGGTTTTTTCCGAATCGATGAAGCGTAAGACGCCGATATTTTGATGATATTACAGTACATAATACATATGGATTTATAAATTTCGCCCGATTAAAATAAGTCCGCATATAAATAAGTACTGGTGGTGTGAAACGGTGAAAATGTCAAAATTTCATGTGATTAAAATTGTGCACGATAACAACACTTCCTCTATACTCTGATATACAAGAAAGTAATAATACTATATCTAGTTCGAATCTTTTCAGATCTAGACTAGATCTAGACAGTTTCTTCCAGGCATCTTTCCGAAAAAAGTTTACCGCCCCCCCCCCCCCAAACTAAATATGTACATTTAACAGTGTCCGCGCCCCCCGAAGAAAGTCTACCGCCCCCGAAAATTTCAAGTGCCTCCTCCCCCCGGAGAAAAAAAGTCTGGAAGAAATACTGGATCTAGTTTAGACTTATAAACTAGGCCTAGTTTACATTTTTCCTACGCGCCTTTACAACCACAAAACTAGAATTGTGTGAGTTGGTCTAACGAAACTATTAAATGAATTTTGTCTTGGTCGCCGGAATCACTAAAATGTCAGATTCCTGAAGTCGTGAACAGTACCATACGTTTAGTAAAAGAACTAGAGAATCTTTAAATCATTGTTGGAATAGCATCTTAGTATCTAAATTCTAGGTCGATCTAGAATCTAATAATTTAATAATGTCTTCTAACATTTCCGTGTCCGTCTCTAAGGTAAGCACGAGTACTGATGAACTTTGAAAGTTTGAGTTAGGCGTGTGACAGTGTGACACTCACTTTCGAGTCTCGACACTTTGTGTTAGTGGTTGACTAACACTTGTGTTGTTGATGAAAAATTTATTTAGTTAACTACCAGTAACCTAACACCCCTTTTTTAAAGAATATTCTATTATACGACGCTGGTATAAAAATTCCCCCAATGTGAGAATTTGTTGACTTGGTCTAGATTCTAGATCTGACTAATACCTAATTCAGCAATTCTAATCAGACTAATCTAAATTGAAACTAAATTCTAGTAATTTAAGTAATATGCTATCTATAGATAGTATTAGTAGTTACAGTACACTATTACTAGTACTACTAGTTTAGTTAGTAGTAAACGTCTTACTACACGCTCAGTTGAGTTTTAATTTTTAAATCATCTGAATTAGAATCTTCATCCGGCTCAGAGCATTGTGAGTGTAGTGTACTCAACTGCATGCATGTTATTGTTATATGTAGACAGTAGCTGTACTCAGTAATGAGTCAGTATTGACTAATGACTAGGCCAGATACAATTGGACAATATTTCAAATCGTCCCTTTGAATCCCGGTCAGAACGTCCCCCGGCTCGGTTTAATCATCAAATGTCGCATGCAACCATTTCAGTTTTATAGTGGGCTCCTTAAAACTTAAAACTGATTGGATTCAATAAATGACTATAATACTACGTGTTATCCATATTCTATTGCACTCTTTAAATTGAACTATGTACTATCGCACTCAAGACTAGAGATGGCCCAGGGTGCCAAATCACAGCCTACTGGGGCATCAGCGATGGCACCTGATTCCGTTTAGTAAGCTACTTTAATGCCCAATTGTATCCATAGTCTGTCACACTGTTTAAAACTAACGTTGGTGCCATCCTGCTCACGAGATAGCATGGACGGCAAATTGTATCCTGCCATGGCGCCAGCAAACGCGCCTGATTCAATTTAACGCCCCATTTTACCGATAGTCTATCGCACTGTTTTAAGCTAATGTAGGCGCCATAGTGTTCACGGGATAACACAGGGCACCAAATTGAACCCTACCAGGGCAGCGCCCATGCGAAATTGAAATTTTTTCCCGCAAAGTTCCATATCGATCTTATGAAAGATGTTGTAATACATAAAAAGACAAAGTCTGACAAAATATAATAGGAGGGTTACATCAATGCTTTATCAATCCTATATTCTTAGACACATGACTTTGTTTTCTAAAACTGGGACGTGCTGTATGAAAGCCTTGAGTGTGATTATGTTTAGTGAACGACTCTAAAACCCCATGTTATGCATAAACTATTTCACTGTTTAAAACAAACTTAGGCACTATAGCGCTCATGGGATAGCCCAGGGTGCCAAATTGCATCCTGTCAGGGCACTGGCAAATGCGCCTCATTCAATTTAGTGAGTGACTATAACATACATTGTTTTATCGCACTGTTTAGAACGGACGTACTAGTCATTGTGTGCACAGAAATCCCAGGCCGTCAAATCACATCCTGTAGTTGCACTTGAGGAAAAACCTGACTTGATATAGTCAACAACTATTATTGCCCATCGTGTCTTTAGTGTGTCGCCCTTTTTTTAAAAAACTAATGTAGGCGGCATAGTGCTCACAGGGAGCCCGGGCGCTTTGGGTCACGTTATAGCCGGGGCAATGGCAGCTGCGCATGTTGAAGTTTTAATGCTGAATATAGTAGTACCTCTACCCGCTGTGCAGCACGCCCGATTAACAGATACCAAGTGCTAAGATAGCCGCTCTGGAACTCTGAGCGCAAACCTTGTATTGACAAAAAACGCACCCTCCAGGGCGCACCCCTTAAGAAATTTTATTGTTTTTTCGCAGATTCGTTTTTGGGAGTATTCTCAGCGACTCCCCAAAGTTTCATGGCATTCGTGTGATTTTTTTTATATATATACCGCATATATTAAAAAAAACGCACCCTCTTGTGGCTCCACCCTTGCGAAATTAAAAAGATTTTTTGCAGAAACCTCCCCTGGAGCGTTCTCATCAACCCCAAATGTTTCATGGGCGACCAGATGAACATTGTCAAACCGCAATCGACTTAATTTTTATATACTGTTTATAGAGAAGAATGGTATTGCGGCTTGCCTGGGCTGAACCCCTGCGAATTAAAAAAAAATCGGAGTATTCTCAAAAACTTCCTAATGTTTCATGGCGATAGAATGAAAGGTGTTGTAATGCACAAAAGACAGATACACACATAAATTGCTTTATATATATATATATATATATATATATATATATATATATATATATATATATATAGGTTAATGAAAATTCAGCAAAACTTGCAGTATTTTCATTTATCTATTGTGTACCCTTATGGATAAAATCCAGGTGCATCCATTGTCATGGTTAGAGGTTATTTCTGCCATGACACTAGGAATCTTGCTATGTTGATTATGGCTAATCCATCACCATTTTGTCTTCGGTTAGTCTTTGGTTTTAATTTAGGTAAAGTATTTTGAAACTCTGTCATCATTTCTGTCCATCAGTTGTACTAGCCTACTTATCTCTAATGTAGGGGACTATTTAAAATGAATGAAGGCACCATAGTGCTCATGCAGAAGCCCCAGGTCACACTACCTACCACCAGGTGCTAGAGGACGTCCCTAGTGCAGTTTGACCACTAATTCAAGTAATACCCCCTTTCACCAAACTACTGCTGGGATTTAATTTAATCCTCAATTCATGCGCCATAATGCTTGTGTTGGAGCTCAGGGTGATTCTGGTGAACTATGCTGAGGTGCTGTAGAAGACCCCTGGTGCAATTTGACTTAAATCAAGTCCTACGGCTAGCCCCCTCCCCCTGCAGGATGCCTAATCACCCGATTGCATATGCTAAGATAACCACTGTGGAACTTTGTTCACATTACTGCCAGGCACCGCCCTTCTATTATTTTACAATTTTTTTATGGCAGAAATTTTCCCAAGAGTATACTGAACTGCACAAAGTTTCATTGTGATCAAATGAATAGTGTAATAATGCAGAAATGACAAACATACTTTCATTTTTTATATATTTATATACATACATATATATATATATATATATATATATATATATATATATATATATATATATATATATATATATATATATTTATATTTATATATATATATATATATATATATATATATATATATATATATATATATATATATATATATATATATATATATATATATATATATATATATATATATATATATATATATATATATATATATATATATATATATATATATATATATATATATATATATATATATATATATATATATATATATATATATATATATATATATATATATATATATATATATATATATATATATATATATATATATATATATATATATATATATATATATATGGGTAATTTTGTGAAAAATATTAAATGTATGATTTTGAGTATGTTGTGATAAGATAAGATAATGAATAATATTTAAGTAAGGGTTAGGGTTACACATACTTAAGTGTTTACTATTAATATAATCACCCCCTCTCCCAAGTTTTTATGTATAAATTAACTATAATAACTATCTTTACAGGGTTGTTTTGCTTATAAGGGAAAATCAAGAAAAGCAAAGTATATTGATTATTTGCATCTGGAGGATGATAAATATGTGAAAAATCGCATGAAACTCTATGACAATTTGTGGGATGATCTCCAAGTTCATATTGACATTCTTAGAGCAGATTTAAATTCACAAATTTTTGAGGATTTGATTACATTTACTTCAACATGTCACAAAGATAGATACACATTAAATGGCAGATTCATTGGGGAAATCCCAACTGCTGTTCTCATCACAGGTGTCAATACCCCTGACCATGGCGTCATGTTTTCTAATTTAAACTCAATGTTCAAAGCAAGGGTCACACCCTTGGTAGCTCGGATTATGTCCAAAGACTGTTCTCGAGTTTCAATGCTTGTGGCTAGCGTAGTGCAACAGCTGACAGACATAACAGTAAGCTTAGACGATGATGAGTTGTGTGCTGAGGCTGCTGGATTAGAAAATGAATCAATCCTGGAGAACACTCCTGTCAAGCTAAAGAAAAATATTCGACATAAAAAAGCTGTTAACATGTCTACTCTTGTTAAATGGTATGGTAAGACTTATTCAGATTCAGCTGTCAGTACATTGGCACAGATAAGAGAAAAGACTACCAGTCCATGTAAAAAGAAATGTGGCAACAGTGAAGTGAAAACCAAAGTAGTGGAAAATGAATCGAGCAAAAAGAAGCCGTTGGTGATTTTAATGCTTGAAGATTCTGAAAACATCAGCTCTAATGTTCTACAGGATTTCATACTGCTGTGTAGTAGCTATTTATCATCTTTGCCAATTGTTTTAGTTCTAGGAATAGCAACTGCTGTCACTGCAATACATCAACTTCTACCTACATCAGTGTCATCATTACTATGCATGGAAAAATTTCATGCACCTCCTGCATCACGTTACCTTACACAACTGATGGACAAAATTATCATGACTTCAGATTTGCCATTTAAACTTGGACCAAAAGTATTTCATTTTTTACTTGACATTTTCCTTTACCATGATTTTTCAATTACCAACTTCATTGCTGGCTTCAAGTACAGCATGACAGAACATTTTCTTTCTAATCCATTGAGTTTGTTATGCTGCTATGAAACTGACATAGCTAATACGGTATCACGACTAACACATTCTCAGCTTGAAGATCTGCGTAGACATTCTGCATTTATGAAGTAAGGCTTTTTTTTTTTAAATTTAATTCAAACGCAAATAATTTTTAAACACTTTTTCATGCTAATTATGATTAGTTTAACTAGATACCAGCTTACAATACATGTTCAAGTTCAATTGAAAAAAAAAAAAAAAATTTATAAAAAGTTTAACATAAGATTTTTTTTTACAATTTTTTTTCAGGTATGTTGAAGGTACCCCAGGTCATGAGCAAATAAAATTAATAACAGATGATAATGTAACAAAGATAAAGATTTCTGAACAATTACAAGCTATGCATGATCTTCATACGAGAAAGTTTCCATCCATGCGTTTTCTTCATTGCCTAGGACTTAATTTGCCAAAACATCCACTTGGCAAACAGATCAGAGAACTGTATTCCACTTGTCTCAGTGAAAGTGTTTGTGAATCTGAAGGATATAAACAAACATTCAACTTTCTCCGCATCATGTGCTGCGATGATTTACATGATGTTCTTGGTCTTTGTCTCAATACTATAAGTGAAGTAAAAATTTCAGAAGTCAGAAATTTATACAATGATGTAGAGAAATTCAGATACAGGCTTAAACATTTAGATGAAGAAATGGAGGATTCTGAACATGGTATGTTTTCTCATGTTTGTTTAAATGTCTCTAGATAAATTTTATTTTTAAAAAATAGAATTTTTAAAAAAATGTAACTATGAAGGTATATTTTGTCTATCTTGATGTGCATGCTAAATTTAATATCAAAACACCTGTACAACAAATGCAAAACACTTCCCGGGCAAACAGAATTAAAAGACTTAATATGGTACTAAGCTAATAATTTTTAAATAGATTTTTAAAAATTTAGATATTAACTAATTTTTAATTAGAAAATAAAACAAAATAAAAGACATTGTAATAACAAGCTTTAAAATACACTTAAACTATGAAAATAAAAATTCTTAAAACTTGTGCCAGGTCTTATTTATATAGATCTTTTTAAAAGCTTATTTAAAATTTCATGTTCTGTATAATAAGCTTAGGTTCTCTAATTGTCTATTTTTTTTGTGCTAATCTGACTTAGTTTTGCCCTTTTTTCAAAAATTAATTTTACATGAACAACTGTACTATTACAATGTAAACAAAAGTTTTATAGACATGCCCTTGAATTTTCATTAACAATATACCAGCATCAAGTTAATTGTCACTATGCTATTAAATTACAGAGAATATACAGAGTGAAGTAAGAATTCTCCCTCAAAGAGCCAAGTTGCATGAACTGAAAGAAAAGCTGCAACTTATATCCTCCTCTAGAAAGAAATCACCATATGAATGTTTACGTGATGAAATACTGAATTCACTTGACAACCACTTTAGGAATCTACTTCAGTGTCCAATGACACACCCACTTCATGAGATTTTTTACTTTAACGATGTGAGTGCAATAAGAGATCACATTAAAGCAGCACCACGCTGTTCTATCCAGCATGCTTTGTCACAACCTGGTAAATATTTGTCTTGTTCATGCTGTCAGTGTGATGCTGAATCAATTCTTCCTTCTATGCCGGATGTTTGCATTGTTTATAAACTCCACTTAGAGTGTGGGACACTGGTAAACCTTTATGACTGGCTTCAGGCTTTTGTTGTTGTTATAAGCTCAAAAGGAACTGACATGAAAAAACCAACAAAGGCTAGCAAAACCCCATCTTTGGAGCATAGAGCTAGATTTATCAGAGCTGTTGCAGAGCTTCAATTTCTTGGATTTGTTAAAGCTACTCAACGAAAAACAGATCATGTTACTAGACTAACTTGGTAGGTTGTATGCATTATCATCTATCATATTTTGAAATTAAAAATTATATTTTAAAAAATTTGGAGATTTTGTTTGAGATTTTCTTGTTTTTGCTATTAAAAAGAATATTTGTTGTTGTTTTTTTTATGTACAACTTATATATCAGATAATTTATAATGTTATAGCTAATGTCACCTTGTTTACAACTTATAAGCTTAGCTTTTCTTTCTCTTATATTTATATAGATGAAACAGTATAAAAATACCAAGCATACTATTAATTAGTCCATAACCTTTTTATGTAAAATGAAGTTCACTTAGGTTCAATCTGTTATATTTGTAAAAATCAACACTACTAGTATTAAATGTACATATCAGTAATAGACTAAAAAAATAAAATTAATGTAATCAAGTTTATAAAGTTTAAATTTCATAATTTGAGCAATCCTAAATTTATACACATTTATACACAATTTACAGTAATGAACATTAAATACTGTAGTTTACATATTTATTAATAGCATTTAAATAAAAGTCTCAGTACAACTATTTTTAAACTAAGAAACTTTAAAATATTTTAAAGAAATAAAATTGTTCATGTAATGTTTAATTCCTAACCCTCTCCATCCTTCCATGTAACCTATCTTCTCCCAAGTCAGAACCCATCTTACTTAACTTACCTCTCATTAAGAAGAACATAAAATCTTAACATTTATTTAATGTAATATGAAACTGTACACAATTACATAATTATAAATATTTTTGTACAATAAATTCACATTGTTTTTACAACTTACACAATGCTTGCATGCAACTTATTTACATATTTAAATTTTGTTCATCTTTGCTGCCAGCTGTGATTGATAGTTGTCTGAATAAAGTGATTTTAAATTGTCTTTATCCGCAAACTACTGGTAATGTCCCTGTTAATCATATTCAAAACAGTTAAAACTAGTTGAAGATACAGTCTGCTGATTTTGCAGTTGTAATAATGACCACAGTGTTACTCTTAATTTCTGGATCAATCATTGTGTAGGTTTGCATCAAGATTTCTGTGATATATTCAGATGTGGACCATATGTGCAAAATTTGTTTGCTCCAATGCTCTTGAGAATTCTTACTGGATTGAATAATGCCTGTTAGAAGTTAAATTAATAATACTGTTAAAAGTATTGCAACACACGTAACTTTTTGTTCCTGTTATTGGAATAATTTAATGAGAGAGCTATTATATTTACTTTATCAATGAATGGTTACAGGGGGATGCTCTTCTTTTTTTATGTGCTATTTCTTACAATGGGACGGAGTGGTCTAGCGGTAGAGAGCTGGACTGCTAACCCGTAAGTCTCGAGTTCGAATCCGGGTTAAAGTCAGTAGACCGTCCCTGAGTCCACCCAACTCTGATGGGTACCTAACTCACGCTAGAGAAAGTAAAGGCGGCTGGGCACAGTGCTGACTACACTATCTCTTTATATGCAGAGGTCACAGAAACAAGTGAACTCTACTTCACTTGCCCCATAGACCGTCAGGTTTGAAAGGGAAACTTTACTTTTTTTTTTTCGTATAATAAATAAATTGTTCCATTAAAACAAAGGAACATCTATGATGAAGATAAGACATTAATGATTGTGTAAATCTAGGACTAATAACTTTGGCCGACCATTAACATTTTAAGTAAGGCAATAAGTCTTACCTCTAAGTTTTTTATTTAGTAGATGGTATGCATCATCATATGTGTATGTCCCTCTGTATTTCATTGCTCGGGTAACTGACACACCTACAGTTTCCTGAAATATCTCACAGACATAGTCTGTGATAGAGCCACCGTGTGGAAAGTAGGACACCTCCATTTCTGTCTGCAAAGTATAGTATTAGGGTGATTTGTCTTTTTAAGTCTGATACAAATTGTATGTAACATATCATCTATTAACTTTCACTAAGATATGGCAAGTAAGCGCAAATTTCACATGAATGGAATTAATCCAATTAATTGACGTAAGGGGAAGCCTTACAAGTTAAATTAGTGGAAGTAATCATCAAAGACCATTATTGAAAGGTTACTTACAGCACAGTATTAGTAAGTGATCTGTTTTATTTAAATATAAATGTAGGCCCTATTTTAAAACTGAACAAGCTAAACACTATTTGATACGTAAGATTAATTCATTGCAGGCTTCCTATTTTATTTTTCAATATAGATCTTGTCAACATCTCGTTAGGTAGTTATCTCCCCTCCATCAAGTCAGGAACGACAACAGCGTTGGAACTGCCCACTCTTATTTAAGCCTGCTTATTAATATTATTGTTTTAAACCCGAAACAGTTAAAAGACCGGGGGTTGTTGTTTGGTGTGTAACTTAAAAATAAACCTTACCTTCTTCAGTTTTGCTGAAAAACACCGCGAAAGCAATTCAAACGACATAACTTCTGAAACAACAGAGCTTCCGCCTGCATTGGGGACTCGAAGAATTCGTAGACCCCCAACTGTCAAGTGCACCTTCCTCATTTCACGTGTAGGGATAAAATCGGTTTTTAGTAACCCACAACATGTTTTATCGTTAACAATACTTGCGACTCTGTAGGATTCATGCACACGCACAACAAAATGCTCGCCGACATAGAGGATAACATATTGAGAGTTATACCTTTTCAGTGTATGACTGCAGATTGTGGCCCCACCAGTCGTAAAGAGGCCCGTCTTGAGGGGTGTTAGATTTGTTTGAAGACGATATAGATCTATCTGCTTTCGAATTTGTTCTTTTCTTAAGGCGAACCATCGTAGCGTTTCCTTGTTACTTGTGGCACTTCAATCCCAAGTCAATGAATTGTACTTAAATCATTTTCACACTATAAAGAATGATCATGAAATGGACCAGGCTTTTAGTATCTATAGAATAGATATTATTATATTACTGATACTATGTGTGTACTAAGGATTATCTTATGGTAGTATCGTATCTTGGTTTCCGTGCTTAAATTCATTTTAGCCTTAATTTACCATAGATCTATCACAAACAGCTTTAAATAGCCTGGTGTTTAATTGTTCGTATGCTTCTACAACCAATGAGAATGTCGGTATTTTTAGAACTCTGTATGACTAATACCTATTTTCGTATCACTTGTTTTCCAAGTCTGTTGCAACACGCAGGCAATTTATTATAAAGGCCTATATATTATAAATGCATATATATATATATATATATATATATATATATATATATATATATATATATATATATATATATATATATATATATATATATATATATATATATATATATATATATATATACATATATGTATACAAAGGCGTCGGACGGGAGGCGGGGGTGCGGACCGCAACGGGTGATATCTTGAGGGGGGGGGGGGATGGGGGAAACCATGACAAAAAAAAAATTTATAGATGAAAATGATTTTTGCTAGTTCAATTCAAAAGGGGTCGTCCATTAATGACGTAACACTCGTAGGGGGAGGGGGTCAGTAATTTTGTGACGGTGTGTGATGAGGAGGAAGGGGGGGGGGGGGGTAAGATGGTGTGACGTCACACTTTTGCATTATAATAAAAGCAATGTTAGAAAAAGAGTTTTAGCCGTTATTTCGCGTTTTAGAAAACGGTTTTAATAAATTATAACATAATTGATCAAAATACTCTATGTTGACGGAGTTCGGACAAGTATCGATGTTTTTAGAAAAATTCAACAGCAATTTTGAGGGGGGGGGGGAGAGAGTTTGTAGGCTGAGGTTTGACGTCATTTTAGGGGGTTCTGGCTTTTTGTGACGACGTGTGACGGAGGGGGGGGGGAAGGTAATATTCGTCAAAAAAAATCGAGACGTCATTTATGGATGACCCCAAATTAATTATTAGAGTTTAAAAAAAAAAGTATTTTAAGTACAAATTGACGATCCCGACAAGTTGGGAGGGGGGGGGGGGGCTATGACATCATGACATATACATGCTCAGAGGCGTAGCAGGTGGGTGCGTACCGCACCGGGTGACGCCGTTTAGGGGGGTGACACTAAGGCAAAGAATTGCAAAATGTGCAGAAGAAAAATAAAAACTTTCTTTGAGTTGACAGTTCCTTTAATGATCAATTAAATTTAAATAGTCTTTTAAGTACGAATCGACTATTATTACAAGGAGGTATGGGTGACACCCAGGGGCGTAGCGAGGGGGGGGGGGCGGGGGTGCGGACCGCACCGGGTGACACCATTTAGGGGGGTGACACCAAGGCAAAAAATAGCAAAATATATAGAGAAAAACTCGAGGGGGAGTGCAAATCGAAAGTTTGAGGGGGGGGGGGGGTGCAAATCGAAAACTTGAGGGGGGGGGGGGTGCAAATCGAAAGTTTGAGGGGGGGTGCAAATCGAAAATTTGAAAGTTTGTCCCTGGGAAGGGTCTCTATGCCTCTGCGGGGGGGGGGGGGGGGGTGACACCATTAAGTGCCGCACCGGGTGACACCCGACCTCGCTACGCCACTGGTGACACCATGACGTAAACGCGCTAACTACAGAGAGAACAATGCTACATCCAACTGTATTATTAAAACTAAAAGACTAAAGATAAACGTCGTCACTATTAAGTCTGCAGTGATTAATTAAAGCTTATACACATACATGTACGTGGCATATATTTAAATTATAGGCTTATGTAGGCACACACACACACATATATATGTATATATATGTATATATATATATATATATATATATATATATATATATATATATATATATATATATATATATACACTTGGGGGGGGGGTGGGGGATGACACTACGAAGTGCTGCACAGGGTGACATCCGACCTAGCGACGCCGCTGTACATGCTAACTATATAGAGAGAAAACACAATGCTACACCCTATCAATAACCGACTATGGATAATCGTTACTATTAATTGTGTACACTTTAAAGCTATCACCATAGAGGGGAGGGGGTGGGGTGACACCAACTGCTAAATTTACGGAGGAAATAAAAGTTTAGTTGAATATCTTCAATATCTAATAAGTCAGTCAACGACCGGGGTGGGGTGACGGGTGACACCATAAGGTGCCGCGGTGACACCCGACCTAGCGACGCCACTGATAGCCTATAGACTATACAGTTTGTCTCTAGGAAAGCGAGAAAGGAATCTAATCAAAACATTAAAGAAAATTTCGAGCATTTATGAACTGAACTTTCAACAATGTTGGCCTATGATGGAGCAATACTTGAAAATAATTTGTCCTCACCAGATCCCACACTTTGGGCGAGAGGAGGGGGGGGGGGGGGTGGAATGATTAATTGTGATATGTAGTCTTTGTAGAGGTTAAGATATCGGAAGCATTATATTTTGAGAACGACGTCGTTGAAAAGCAATTACGTGAGAATACAAATTACTTTAGAAAGCATGTTGGCTGATTTTACTTCTGCAACTATGACGATGTTGTGTGGGTGTGGTGTAAAATAGAGTGACGTCATTTATTATGTATTTCTGGAATCTTTTTGTATATGCTTCTTGTAATAAAGCTAGCCTAAGTTACAGATAATATAATATTAGGTCAGAAGATTAGCCAACCTGAACAAGGAATTTAAGATGGGGGATGTAAGGCGTACTTATCTATGTGGTTGGTTGTTAGGGGTTGTTTTTTTTTTGTTGTTATGAGAAGAAAGAATCGGGAGTGGAAAGAGAATGGGATGATTAGCACTATTTGAGGAGTTATTTTGCAAAACCTATAAATCCACTTGTTGAAAAAATTAGGTATCCTAAAAAGTCAATTTTAGCCAGTATGTTTAACAAATGTTTGTCTTAAAATGTAGACCGTATTTTGAAATAAATCTTTTAACAGTAAAAAAAAATTATGAAATTCCTAAGATTAGATTAGAAAAAGTTAAAAGAATTGATATAATATGATGAGTGCTGGATTTATTTTCTTGTTTTAGACTATATTTAGCTCACAATGTCTGATTGTTTGTGGCATGTAACTCAATTTTGATTAAATTCCAAAACAGCCAATTCATTCTACTAGTTCTAGCTTTCCACACATTCATCCATGCAAAGTTTCCATATTTTATATAATCATATGACTAGATTATAACAAAAAAGGAGTGATAACAAGATTAAGTACTAGCTGACATAAGGCACATATGGTTGGGTAATGCCTTAGACACTAGAGCCAAATATAGATCAAGAAGGGGCAGACCTGTCCATTAGTAATTGCAAGGTACTGATGTGGTTTTAAAGCAAATATTACTAGTCATATGTTTAAACTTTCATTAAGAACAAACAAAATGCAAACTTTTAGTATATTTTATGTTTATTTTTACGTCAAAGTTTTGTGAGTTTGAACTGAAATGAATTAAAATATCACATATATGTGCTTTTTGTAAAAGAATAAACAAGACCTCATGACAAGTTATGAATGTGTTTAGTTTCTTCATTAACCTTTTTTCAATCAGTTGCATTCAAGAAACTGGGAATAATGAAAACATTTTTAAGATAAACCAAATATACAATCAAATATTTTCTGAAGTTGCTAATACTAAATTAAATCAATGGTTTTGAAAAGTTAATACATGATGAGCATGAGCACAGTAAAAAAAAAATTACATTTTATGAAAACTTGCACTTTGAAAAGTCCATTTCTGGATGTTGCTCCATGAATCTGGAAAAACAAATAAATCATGGTTTAATCATTGATAAAATTTAGCTTTATTACATGGCCACAATAGAGGGGCTGGGTAACTAGACAACATATAATAAAGAAGTAGAACTTGATCTACTAAATTTAATATTAGATCTAATAGCAATTGGTTCACTGCTTCAAGACATTAATAGTACTTAATACATTTTTAAAGCATTTGAATGACTGCTAATTAATTAAAGGTTTAAACAAAATTGCTGTTTAACAGCACTTGTACAACTACCAATAGGGCAGCAAACAAACCATTGATATGTTGATAAAAAAATCCACCTAACAAAATGGAGATGGATCAGCCTTAAATTTAAGGCACCTGATAACCAACATAGTAAGACAGGCACTACATGGAATCCCCAAGACAAGATAAAGAGGCAGGTCAGGAAAACCATGGAGACACAAATGATACATGCAAACTAGAAGGCTCTTATCTGCAGTTGACCTAGTGGGATTATCTATTACTACTATTTGTTGACCAAAACAATCAATCTTCTTTGTTCTTAATTGTCGTAAGGGATTTCCTCCAACGCAAATATTACACGTCAACTTGTTGGGCATATAGGCCGTTATTGACTCCGATACTAGCCAGCTTTTCTTTTTGGATTTGCTTCCATAGCCTTTGTCCACCCAAGAACAGAATTCAAGCCAGCATTTATTTGATTTTGGAGTTTTCTCTCATAGATGGGTTGCTGTCCCCAGCTATTGAGCCTTATCTGCCCAAGGTTCTGAACTTGAGCTTTACCGACCCGTAAAACGCGACCCCTAAAACAACCTATGAAAGAGTTCACTTGTTTAGAAAGGAAAAAGACTATTACTTTTTCAAAACATCCTGTTTCTTTTGTTCATCTGATGTTGGTAGTCCCATTTCTTTCTGTCGTTGGTCATACATCATTTTTTCTACCATTGATCGTGTCTCACCATCCAGGTCAGAAAGCTGAAAAAGTTTATTTGAATGGACTTAACAAATGATGAATCTGTTTAAAATTTTGGTACTATTGTTTTTTCAATAAAATTAGACTGTCATTCACAACATGCTTTGTCTGCAAGATTTTGATATGTTCAACTTTGAGGCAGACTATAGAGACAAGGCTTAATTGGCCATAATCTCATAAAAATTATTACCTGAGTGATTTTCATTCAACTTTACTTTGTTTTGTTAACACGGAAAGGTAGTTTAGTACAAAATAAATTTTCTTTATGACAGAATGTTCTGAACAAGGCAAGAACAAATTTATTATGTAAGGCACAGTTTTTACAAATCTTATGCTTTAATGTCCAGCATAATGGACAGGAAGCGTGGATGTTTATCATTATGATTTTTTTCTGCATCCAGGGTAAATGTAGTAGATTTTGTCCATTTCAGTGTCAGAAATTGGTAGATTCAGGTATGTCCTACTGATTTAAGTGTGGGATCTGAACTAGAAACTTTTGGGCTAGTTTAAATATCATGTCATACGAAAACAAGCTTCATTGAAAATTTAATATGTATACATATTATGATAATCTAAAGTGTTTACCTTAGAATTTTCTGGCTGTACTTTGCGTGTGTTAATTTCTGGTTCAGTAGTAATAATTCTACTCCACCATTCCATTTGATTTACCTGCAGTTTTGTATCAAAACAGTGAATTTTATTAGACAATATTTTAAAACAGTAAAAGCATTCCTTGGGGAAAGTGTACTAAACCAAAAGTCTGACATGATAAATTTTTTATTAAATTACTAATTATAAACTGCCTATTTAAAGACTAACAGCTAGAAACTAGAAAGATATTTAAATAACCTTTTCTATATTTATAAGAAGTGTTTTTTTATCAATAATACACCAAGTAGACTCCTCTATTTTCACATCATTGTACATCATACCATCTAAAACTGGTGGATGTCCTTTTAGGCCAATACATAGTTTCTGAAAATATGTTTAACAGACCAGTTTAATATAAAAAACCTGACAGAGTAAAAATTTCCTACTCAACTTAAGAAATAATTCATTATAAACTCAGCTTACCCTTTTTTCGATGTTAACAACAAGATCTTTTCCTTTAAGTGGAAAACTGACTTTAAATGGAACCTTAATCTGTACAAAATAGAGAATTAAATTTTTTTTTTTACTGTTTTGCCCAGAAGCAGCAAATGAACTGCAATTTTCTAAAACTCCTTAAACAGATCTAAACATAAAAAATGTGCAATAGTAATAATGCACTGAAACAAATGCAGCAGCACAGGAGTAAGATAAAGTCATCCAGGTAATTACCAAACCCCTTCCTTGTTGTTATGCTTTAAAATAAACTTCTTAAAAAAAATTACCTCCACTTCCTGTAATGTTTGAGTCCATGAGTAATTGGGCATGTCAGCACCATTTCCAATATTTGGTTTAAGTTTTCCCTTATCTTTTTCATCTTCTTCATCATCACTGGCTGGCTTTAAAACAGAAAACAAACAGAATAAACATTTCTTAGGCAGGTTTGGTGTACCTCTAATTAACCATTTTCAGTCAAGTGCAGCCACAATAGCAGGGAATTTTAATGTGTGGTACAGGCACATTGTGTGGTCCGCATTTGACCTGCAGAACTATGTATAGTACATTTATTTATGATAATACCGAAGTCTTGCTGGTAATGAGATTTTGAAGATTCTGATAGAAGCGGGAAATCTTTTATTTGTTGTTGTGTCATTAGCAGTTATTTTCTGCACATTTTAAAAATTTAGAATGTGTGTTTCAGAATTAGGGGTAATATAATTTGTGAAATATATACTACTAAATAAATGAACAATGCTGTTGAGACAGGCTTAAATTATAACATAACTAATACCATGATATTGAAAAAGTAAGTAGTTAATTATTTTTTAAGCATTTAAAATAATTTTCTAATTGAAATAATATTGAGGCTGCATTTTATTTAGTTTTTCTGGGATTAGTGTAATTTTTAAAAATTATTAAGCTATTTAACCTCATACATAATAATAATAATAAACTTTGACAATTTTCCTGTACAATGCTATTAATTTTATTTCTAACATATGTGGATATTTTCAAATATTTTTTTTTTAAGTGCTGTCGTTGAAAAATGTCTTTTTGTCTGCTTGGCTGTACATGCAGTAAAGCAGTTTTAGCTGTGATTTGTACAATCAGCCTATTTAAGTGCTAAATGCAGCATTTTAAAAAATGATATACCTTTGAATCTTCTTTATTTTCATCTTTGTTATCATTTGGTTCATTACTGTCTACAGCAGTGTTGGTACCATTCTGAAAGCATTTGAATTTTTTTTTTAAACAAGCAAGAGTTTCAAAAATAAGGTGTTGTAGCTGGTATTTTCTTTAAACTTCTTAAGTGAGTGATATGATAATGCACTATATGTTTAGAAAGCACTCAAAAGTAACTGTCAAAAAATTAAAATGGATTTTTAAAAAAATATTACATTTTTTAACTCTTTCTCTAATCTTTCTGCCTCTTCATCAGTCAGTTCTTTGATTTTTGGCTCTTCTTCAGCCTTTAGTCTTTCCTTTTCTTCTTCTGCTTTTTTTTTGGCTATTCTTTCTTGCCTCCTCTTCTCTTCTAATTCTTTCTCTGTTTTTTCTTTTTCCATTCTTTCAGCAACTACTTTTCTGTATTGTTCAAACTTTTCCCTGACCATCTATTAGAAAGAATAAACTTTTAATATATAATGGTCTTTTCCATTCAAAGAATTATCTATTAGAAAGAATAAACTTTTAATAAACTTTAAATCTGTAATGGTCATACATTCAAAGAATGTATTTTATAAATTAAGACATACTTTTTGTGCTTGTTCCTTTCCAGCTCCAGAATAAAAATCTGTCTTTCGAGCTAAGAATCCAAAGAAGGCATCAAGAAGCTGAAAAATAGGTACAAGAAATAAACTGATCATGCATGGCATCCCAAAGTTGCAAAAAATACATAGGTATAGAGAGATTACATAAGTTATGATCAAACATACTATTAAACTAATAAACAATGTAATTGGCTGGTAGCATTAAAACTAACCCTAGTTCAAGCCCTAAAACTTGATTGTTAAAACAGTGTTAATCACGAAGAAGTTTCAACCATTTTTTTTGTTTTTTTAAAAACATTTGCTTACTTAATTTTAAAAAAAAAATGTATATCAAAATAACTCAGTAGCCTAACAACTTTTTATGATCATTTTGTTAGCTATTGTGTAGCTTAAGCTTTTCCTAACTTTATAACATTATGTTCACTTTTTATGAATGTTGCGACCGGAAGCAACAATAATTTTAAAATGTGTCATCTGCTTAAGATTTTTCTATTAAAATAAATGGCAGACAATATAAACTTGACTTTGTTAGCTGTTGTCACACTGTAGAAGCATTCAGTTTTCTTATATACCCTCTCAGAATTTCCAAATTGAAAAAAAAAACTAAAAAAAAAACAACAAACAACACCATCCACTACTTGGGCCGAGAGGAATGTTTTGTTGAAATGCTTTTTATTTGCGTTTTTTTAAGTCATAGAGATCTAGAGGTTTAGAACTTATGACCCTTTTTGGTTTGTTTATATTCTCCAGCTTGTTTGAAGGAATAACTATTTGCCTGCTGGAGCGCCTGATTTGTTCGAAAATTGCCTGTGCCAAGTTCATTAAAAATATTCAGATCAGGTTATAACTATACAGAGACTCTATTGATTAGTCTATTATTAAGAATAGAAGTAGATCTAGATTTTAGAGTGGGGCCAATAATAATTTAAAGAAAAATCTCTGTATGTTAATCATGTCCAATTTTAAACCTTAATAATTATCACTTGTTATCACTTATCTAGCTACTCTAGATCTAGATTAGTGTAGTTGCCTAGATCTAGATAAAGTAGATTTAGATATTAGATCATAAGGTAATCTATTGCTTTAGGTACATAAAAATCGGCAGAGGCTAGTAATGTGAGAAAAACGTTTGCCTCATTGTTAAGGCTTTAATAGAAGTATATTTTGATATATTTGCGTCAAATATTATAGATAACTGAATAATAAACAAAAGTCAATGGCTAAATATATCAATTAAGGCCCGAAATTAACTTATCAGCAGTGTTTGCTAGCAAGATTTGCTATATAAACAGCTGTCATCTGTAAGTTACAGTGGTTTCCCCTGGATCTCTAACTCTAATTTTACAACAAAAAAAAAAACAACTTAAGATGGCTGCTAAAGTAAATGAGCTTGGTTGCATCTGATGAAATAATGAAAACATCTCTAGTCTATATTTTTTACTGAAAATTTTTATTACAATTGTTTAAAAACAGCTACATTAATGAAACTTTGAAACATTTTTGTAACTTTCAAAACATAAATCCTCCTAAAAATATGAAATAATTACAAAAATTTAATGGGTCAACAGCTAGTTGCTAGATTCTAGATCTAGTAGTAGATCTAGGTAAAACTCAATTTTAGCATATTTTATTCGCCGCATCACGTTCACCTCCGGTTGAGCGTATTTTATTATAAACACAACCAAAGCACACAAAAATGTTAGGAAAACACTAAGATTAGAATCATTAGATGATTGATATAGATCTACTTTTTTTTGTTAATGAATGTGTTTTAAATTAGAAAAGGTAAAAAAATATTATAGGCTAAATAAGCATTACAGTTCCAATTAAATAGCGTGTGATCGTCGACAGGAGAGAAATCCTTACATGGTCAAGGGTTCACAGTGAGTTCACATTGACTTTAATTATCAGCGCAGTGTTTCTTCCAGACTTTTTTCTCCAGGGGGGGGTCAACATTTTTGGGGGGCGGACACTAGTAAAAGTGGGGGGGGGGGGGGGGGGGGGGGGATGGGGCGCCGGTTGAGATGCCTGGAAGAAACTCTGATTATGTGTTTCTACATTGGCCATTGCCATGAAAATCTTAACTGACACGAGCACATTTTCAAGAAAAAAAAGTTATAAATAGGCCTAAATAAATAGTACACATTCAGTATTCCAAATTCTGGATTTTCCTCAAGTTTTGACAATATTCATATAATAATTTTATATATATATATATATATATATATATATATATATATATATATATATATATATATATATATATATATATATATATATATATATATATATATATATATATATATTAATCTATATTAATTTAAAAAGCTAAACCAAAGATTAGGAATGTTGGGATATTTTTCCTAATTATCATAGAATGATAAAATGTACACATATTAATCCTATAATACACCCCATAGATAAAAATACCAAATTTACCATTCTAGGCCTAATAGTTTTTTTTATATGAATTTTTAAAGTTATGTATTAAACTTGTTATATATCACTGTAACATCGGATTTAATTGTGTGATTGGCTTTAGGCTTGCATACCACTGCTGCTATTTGAGATATAATTATAAAACTTTGCACATTAGTGCTAGAGAGTGTGGGCAATAGAAATATGAAAGTAAAATCAAAATTTGATGAAGGATAATTAGAACTAATTAAGTCAAATTAAAGTGAGGGGTTCTGTTCTATATACAGGGTTCCTACACCAAAGTGAACTTGAAATTCCAGGAGAATTCCAGGAGTTTTCCAGGAGAAAAACCAAAATTCCAGGACATAATTTAACCTATTAAAAAGCAACAACGACTCAACCCCCGCGCTGAATGGAAGGGAGTTTAACATTTCTTAAATAGGAAGTGGTCTTTATAAAATGCTATGTAGCATAGCATTTGTAATTTTTAAAAGTAACTGTTTCTAAACCATTTAGTTTAGTTAAAGTAGATTGAATTTTGCACCCCACCCCTACCATTTATAAATTGTTATTTATAAAATTGCTATCTATCCTTTCTCCCCCCCCCTTGGAAAATTTGGTGGCACTTTTTACCAGTCACTATCCTGTAACAATTTTTATCTTTGTACTACATAATTGAGGTAGAGAAAAGTTGAATCAGAGTGTAGTCTTGTAGCTGTTTATTTTCTTAACTTTGACTGTGTATAATTCAATACTTTAGCATAAAATGAGCTTTTTGTAAACAAAATTTTTTATCCCTTTTCATCAGGGCGCCCCCCCCCCCCCCCACTTTTGCCAATGAGTAGTTAAATATATAAATGTGGCACTTTTCTTAAACAACTACTCACTGTCCATAAATTAAGCCTGTTTATAAACCCCCCTCCCAAGCACCAGTTCTAAGGCCTGTTGTCACAAATTCATCTCATGAATTTCCCACCCTCCCTTATAACAAAAGAAATAAATTATACAGAGATGTAAACAGACTATTGAAAATTCTTTATTATCCCAGCCACCCACCCCCCCAA